ATTTAAACTTATTCTGTTCGAGTGAACCGGCATTCTTATTTACTATCGTAGTTCAATGACCTTATTTGTTTATAAACTATTTAGTCTAAGATCCAAACTTAAATCGATAATAAAATCAATCTATCAGCATGTGAACACGACGATAAAGGGTTTACTGGAAAAATAAGCAATGAATACTTTACGAACTATCATAGATATCGGCAGGGTTATGGGTGCTGTAATGTACCGTGATCCCGACCGTGGGCAGATTTGTAGCCAGAAAGAGTCTGACACTCACTCTTGCCCCACCCAGGGTGGGAGAAGTCATTAGTTGATTATTTTACTCTCTCTACCATGTTCCGTTTTCTTTGGTGACTGGGCTTCTCCCAGTTGTACAGTCTCTTCTGTGCCTTTAAGGCTTAAGTCATTCTGTCCCCTGCATAAAATTTACCGAGGGAAGTGGAAACTATTTTTTTTTCTTCTCCTCAAAAAATGTCTTCTGATGTAATTCGTTGCGAGATCCAAGACAGTCATTCATGTCGCTGGGACGCGCCGGACTTCAGTGTTCCGGTGTTTTCATGGTTGTATCTAGTGTTGATCCTGGTGTACAGGAGTTGCAGCGGTTTTGGGAGGTTGCGGTGGGCTAGTGCCAATTAAATTACTCTCTCAACAAAAAATATATCTTTATTATAACTTTCGTGAGATATTCTTAATTATTTATTATGTTTTCGGCTTACTCACGTAATAATTTGACGAGATACTCGACTAGTTTGAACTTACAACTCAACGAACTTCAACAGAGACGGTGGCTGGGCATTACCACCTGCCTGGAAGCCGAGTCTGAAATCTGCGTCAGACTGCACTGTTGAGGGGTCTGGAGTGTGACACAGTTAGCACGGTATGTAACACGTCGACCCGGGATTCGAACCCAACACCAACGCAGCTGCAGGCGGGCGAGTCGAGCGTGCCAACAATGTCGGGCGCGCCGTGGCTGCCGACACCACGGCTAGAAGAAAGTGCGCGTGAATCGCGGCAGAGGGCGCGTTGGGCGCGCAGACTCGAGTAGCCAGTAGCAGCGCGACAGTCGCCGAGTCGCGTGTCGCGCGCTCATGAATATGGGCCTCTAGCATGGCTTGAAACTAGTCGAGTATCTCGTCAAATTATTACGTGAGTAAGCCGAAAACATAATAAATAATTTTAAAAATATATCATAGATATATCGTGTCACTTTGCAGAATACTAATTAAATGTAAGGACGAGATGAAATGAGGTCGTAATTATGAAAGCATTTACGAGGTAAAATAGTTATTTTGTGACATTAACAATCTGCAGAAAGCTGGTAGCAATGTAGCCAGTATTTTACCACTACAATGGAAACGGATAAAATTATTATAGAGTTTTATAACCATTGCTGCACACTTGGTATATTGACTTAGCAAATGGCTAAGCAACTTGTCGCGGGTTCGATTCCAACACGGAAAAACACTATGTTTGTGTCCACAAATTGTTGTTTCGAGTCTGAGTGGTTTAAACGCACCCACGGAAGGAAAGAAAGAAAGGAACATTTATTTACATAGAACACAGGTGTTACCAGATATAATAGTGGTGTACAGTTCAGGCTGTATTCTGCCTAAGTTAGGCATGCAAATATTTTTATAAACTAATACAATTTCCAAATACCTATATTCTATTATAGCAAACAAAGTAAACATTTATTATTATTAGATATTATTTGTCACACAAAAAATCACATTAATTATAATCTTACATTTCATAAATTCTTCTATTGTATAAAAACATTTTTCTATCAGTCATTGCTTAAGCTTTATTTTAAAATATTTGAATGGTAGTTCCCTTACATTCCTAGGTAATTTATTAAAGACTGATATGCACATATGATAAACAGGATTTATATATGGGGAAGGTTTTAACATTTAATTTTTGTGTACTATTTTCCTAGTAAAAACATTTTTCATCATCATCATCATCAGCCTATAAATGCCCACTGCTGAGCAAAGGCCTCTTCTCATACAGAGAAGGTTAGAGCATTAATCACCACGCTTGCTCAATGCGGGTTGGCGATTTCAAACTTATAATTAGAAATTATAAGTCCAGGTTTCCTCACGATGTTTTCCTTCACCGTATGTCAGTGGTGTCTAAATAATCATAGAAAGTACATATAACTCGGAAAAAGTCACATTGGTACTTGCCAGGTTTCGAACCTACACCCTCATGCATGAGAAGCGGGCTCCTTAACCTCCGGGCCACCACGTCATTCAAAAACCATTTTTGTTGTAACACTACTCGGGTCTCTTGTAGTGGTACGCTAACAAGACAAATGACATACACCGAGGACCTAGGTAGTAGGAGTAGGAGGGATTGGCCACTAGTGCATAGTAATTCCATACCAAGGTTTGAAGTGAGCACAATATCTAAAAATAAATGAATGACAACGCAATCACGGCAACAGGCAACAGCAATTACATTTTATGACGAATTAAAACAATTATAAATGCTAGTATTGATGTCGATTGCACTTTATGTTGTACATTTTTATTAGGATAACTATAGCTATAAGTATATCGTTAATAAATAAATAACAACCACATAACATAATGCAAACATCACATCTATTTTTGTATTTAAAATATACTGAAACATAATTATAAAGTTTAAGTTGCAAGCGTTGTTATAAAAAAAAATCAAGTACAAAACCATGGAAAGCACTGAATCGATTTTAATGAAAATCATGCGCAATTAAAATTTTTAAGGATTAAAACCTTGTCAATTTTCCTTTACAAAACGTGATGTAAAAGATGAGTTTATGGAGACGGATAGAGAATGAGGGGGGGGGGGGGCATTGAGTGTCCGGTAAACTGACTCACACAGCGAAACACAACGTAGGAGTAGTTTCACGGCGGTACCTACTCTGTTAGACCTTGGTATCACTCGAAGCACTGCCGAAGCTTGTCTCCTTCACCAACATAATGATGTTGTATTTCTAGATAATTAAAATTAAAAAATACTGTCACACAGAAAAAAAACATTTTAACTTCACTACACAAAAACGCGCGAAAATTTCAATTTTGACAGAAAAAATAACGTACCTATTGAATTAAGTATCTAAAGTGCTAACTCAATGCGGTAGTTTCCAACTAGTCAAATTCAATACTTTTATGCAAATGTCAAAACGATACCTTTCTGATGTACTTAATTTGACGCCATAGTATTTTTGCGTCAAATTAAGTACTTAGGTATTTCTTAAAAATTAGGTTAAAAATATCTAAAATATAGTACCTATCCTATATGAATAAAAGTATAGTTATTTTTCGATATTTCATTGTATTGAAACGTCGAATTAATTTATTTTTGACCTAGGAAACTATCCAATGAGGCGGCGGTATCACTCCGGTCGAGAAGACCCACTCGTGCCGAAGCATGGCTTTTCTACACATACCTACAACAAAAAAAACAAATAAGATATTATTTGATGCAAATAATAATTTAACGTCTCCACATTCCAATTAAAAAGTATTGAATTAGATTTTTATTTATTTTAAAGTACTGAATTGACAGAGCAATTTCTATTTTCAGCTGTGTACTAAGTTAATTGACGCTACTGTTTATCCTGCAAAGAATCAGCAATGATGTTTGTTTTATTTAATCATTACCTTCTGATCTGAGTCATTCTTCAGCCAGACAGATTGGTATTACGGACTAATACCCAGTAATCTGGCTAGATCATACAAAACAGCGTGTCTGAGATACCTCTAAATATAGACGTCTATAAGTTACGATTTCCTGCAAGTGTTCTTAGAATCGACGGAATTATAATCGATTGGTAACATGCATGCAATGGTATTCTAAGATAAAATAAATGGCAAGTAAGTATTTTTAGAAATACCAATAACTGAAAAGTTTTTTTTTCAAATTGAATCGTTACATTTTCTAAGTGTGGGAGAGCCATGTTTCGGCACTAATAGGTCGGCTCGACCGGAGTCACAAACACAACCACAGCGTTGTGTTTCGTCGTGCGAGTGAGGTTACTGGGGCCCAATCGTTCCCCAACCCCAATCCTTCCTCAATCCCAAAATCTCCAAATCCATAATCCATAAAAAAACGGTATTCCTCCGATGTTGCAGGTGACCATGGATGGCGCTGATTGCTCACCACCAGGTTATACGATTGTTCATTTGCCGAACTATCACATAAAAAACAGTTAAACAGGTGGCTAAGGCAGTGCGGTAATTTTCTGCGAATCGTGTCTATCAAATTAAAATAGGCGCGAATCACGGAAAGCATAATTTGTATGTACTTGTATAATAATTTATCTAGGTTTTCTTTTTTATAAATTGAAATCCGAACCAGTCATAAACAATACATACCTACATACTTACTAATAGAAGAAAGTAGGTACTTAAAACGTAATAAAATTAAAATAAACTAATATAACTAAACGCCTGTATATTTTTTAATCGCAACGTAGATGCTAGATACTTAATTTTATAATATTAATGAAATTGTAGGAGCTACGGTTTTATCTGCTACTTACCAGGCTGTACACAATGCACTGATTATTTCCGTATAATAAAGTGATTATCCCTTACAGTATACGAGAATTTAGTTATTTTTAATAAAAACAGTCAAATGGTCAATGACCTTTTGTTTATTAACCAGCCAGAAATAGTACCAACATTCTCAGCAATAAAATTCCCTATTTCATTAAACGCTGCAATTCTGCGTTTCATCAGTCTAATTGCCTGAATTCTCGTCTCGAAAAACGAAAAGCGAAAAGCTCTCGTCTTTTCTTAAAAGTTTTACTTTGACGAATGTGTCTGAAGTGTGGGAGCGCCAAGCTTCGGCACGGATGGGTCGGCTCAACTGGAATAATATCACGGCCTTACGGATATTACGGATTGCATCTAAATAATCTTAAACCATATCTAAAGTCCAAGTTTTAAAAACTTTACTAAGCCATTGTACTAAGCTGGTGTAGAATTGACAATGACAAAATACTAATTGTCAATAGTGTCAAATCGAATAGAAATGTCAAAGTCCATCCTCCCCGCACTCCGCTGAGGAGGAGGCAATGATTTATTTTTGTAAACATTCAGTAAGTTACAAGCACTCAGACGGTTTTCAACGAAGATAAAAAGTTTTTAATCACTTATTGTTATAATATTTGGCTTCGACATGGTGCTCGTAAAGTCTCTGGCCGGTGTGAGAGTTCTGCCAAAACCGTAAGTTCTTTTTTCTATTCGTAATTTGAAAATGTTCTATTTTGTTTCGAATTTTATCAATATTTTGATTGTGTACCCAGATAACATTAAATAATAAGGATAATTATTAATCTAAATTCTTATCTTTGCAATGAAATTCGACCCTATGCCCTTGATAAAAAAAGTTTTAGCTAATATTAAATCATAAAAACAAGTTTCTTATGAAACTATGTAGGTAACTGTTGTATAATTATATCTCTTTAACTGGTTATTTTTTGCACGAACAAAGGTTAACTTTGTCTAAGAACTATTCAAATGACATAATATTCACAATTACATTCTAGCCTTCTAATGATTAACTAATTTTCTTCCTGTTTATCTCAAATTCATAACAAAATTCTGTGCATTTTAATAGATATACTTAACTACAAGAACTAAGAGGTTTTAGGTACTCAAGTGTGAACAATATAGTTATTATAGTGAACTTAGTGAAGATCGATTATCAGAAATACAATTAATTTTATCAATAATGTTAACTCTATAAGTGTTTAAGTATCAATGAACTGACACAGAAAAGGATGTTTTCATTGAAAGTTTAGATTAAATGAAATCTTAGAGTGCTGATAAACTAGATCATTCTTGTTAAAATAGAATGAAGTACAGATAAAAAACAAATTGTTTTAAAATTTTAAACCTTTAAAAAAATCATTCCATTCAGTAACCTGATGAGCATACTATTGCGTGTGTCACATCTCTCCCCATAATGAGCATAAGATGTTATAATATAAAAGACTTCATTAAGTTATTGACGGCCGACAGACAAGTTGAGGGCAAATCCTCCGCTAGGGTGGCCCACATGTTGTCCCCCATGGCGTTCAACATGGCAATAATTGGCTAAGTGACACTTGTCTTAAATCCCACATTGCAGTAATATTTGCTCTGAATTTGAAAAATGACAATATAAGTGCACAGTTTTGCTGTGGCTGGATGGCTGGGCCATTGGCTGCCATGCAAAATTATTATATTCAATATTCTTTAATATTTTAAAATAATTTGATAGCAGTATCACAGCATGTTTCCTGAGAGTCTGAGTAAATCAACTTATTGAATTTTAGTTTATATTATTGATATTTTACAGAGGAAAGAGTCAATTGATTGTTTGTGTGCTTTAATTAGGGACAGATATATGTCCATGGTTGTTGGAAAAAATCTTTCACTGACATGTTTAGTTTTTAAAGAATATTATCCCCTTTTCACTCCAATATGTTACATCTAAAGGATCCAGACCAAATGGAGTGAATTTCACAACTGGTTACCACAACGGTTTTAATAAAAAAAAATATTTAGTGGGCCTGTCCGAACAGTCATTCAGCCTCAAAAGAAAACCGGCGTGAAACAATTACAGCCCCATGTACCGTTGTGTGGGGTAACTGGAGGCCGCATCTCCACCCCTATCGCCAATCCTCAAACACTTATAATACGCCAAAAGAATCGCGCCAGTGTCGCCAAAAAAAAACATTAAACTAATCTAAACTAATATTATAAAGAGGTAAAATTTGTAAGTTTGTATGTAGGCGGTAATCTTTGTAACCGCTGGTCGGATTGCTAAAACTCTTTTACTGAGAGATAGCTACAATGTTCCTGAGTGCTATAGGCTATAAAACATCACGCTACGGTCCAATGGAGCCGAGCAGCGGGTGAAACCGCGAGAGAGTAGCTAGTATACCATAAAAATATCAAGACAGCATATCTTGATCAACTGATCTCTGTCAGCAGCCAGAATGTCAACATAGTAAAATAAATATAAGTCACAAAGCTTTACGACATTTAATCAAGTACTGCAGACAGACTGTGACTGTGACTTTTGACGTTCAAAAGTGCGTGAGTCTGATTGAAATAAATGGTTTTTAATTTTGACTTTTTTCAACAAATAGTTATTTTTAATTATTTAAAATTTAATTTTCAATTTTCTTTCTAGTGTCAAAAAATATGTTTCTATTGTTTTCAGAGTATTCGCAGAACAGTCAGACAACTACATTCTGTCTCCGGAACAAATTAAGTTCTATGAGGACAACGGATACCTAGTTATAAAGGAATTGATTGATTTCACATGTTTATACAGTTACAAGTAAGTAGATACTAGTGTTACTTATATTTTTTTTTTGTAAGTGGAAAGTCATCAAATGGCTACCCGCCCAGCGTTAGGCGAGAGAGAGTGTCAGACTCTTACTGACTAAAAACCCTCCGGTTCTTTCTCCTGGTCCGAGGCCGCGTTGCCTTATTGTGCTTGACCCGCAACCCCGGCTGAATATTATTTATATCTGGTGCCATGATTGTTCGTTTTGATTCGGATCTTTTCACTATTCGCCAAGTGAAAACACTTTGATCCCCATCATATAGGGGGCAGCCCACTGTTCGAATGTCACAAAACTGTCTGCCTTGCACATAATATATATTCTTTAATAAAAGTGTGGGATAGCCATGCTTAGGCACGAATGGGTCGGCTCGACCGGAGTGATACCACGGCCTCACAGAAGACCGGCGTGAAACAACCACAGCGTTGTGTTTCGCGGTATGAGTGAGGTTACCGGATGCCCAATCGTTCCCCGCCCCCAATCCCTCCTCAATCCCTAAATCTCCAAATCCCTAATCCCTAAAAGGTCGGCAACGCACTCGTAACTCCTCCGTTGCGGGTGTCCATGGGCGGCGCTGATTGCTTACCATCAGGTAATCCGTCTGCTTGTTTGCCGACCAATTACATAAAAAAAAAATAATGAGTACAGAAACATGCAGGCAACTTATATAGTTGCCTGCATGCATGGTTGATGCAGTTGTTGGGCAACTAGCTGCCGTGCAACGTGTCGTGGGTTTGATTCCCGCATGGAACAATTCTTTATGTGATCCACAAATTGTTGTCAGACCGTGAACAACAATTTGTACAATACAATACACATGACACTGTCATGTGTATGCGCACCCACGACACAGTAGGAATCCTAGAACGGGGTAACGTTTAAAAAACTGTACACAAATGTTATCTGTATACGAATTTTTAGGTTTACAAACGCATCCACGACACAGACCAGAGGGCCTACCCTCCTTTATTCCTTTTTCTCGCCCAAAAGATTCTCGCAAGTACTTACAAGTTTTTTTACAAAAGTCAAAGATAGTATTTTCAAAGCAACCTCAACGAAATTAGTACCTAACACTTTTGAGCTGGATATTTTTTTATGTAACTTTTATTACAATTTCAATATCACATATATACAATCAATATTAATGATTCCTATAAAACATACTAAAATATGAACATTATAATACACAAATATTTATTTGTTCTCTATATTATCGAAAGATTGCAAAAAAGATTTCAATCAGGATATACAATACAGTAGGTAGATACTTGTCTACCTCTATTCTTGTATACTTATGTATAGTTTCCATTGTGTTGTGGATGAAATCATAATAATACCTACCTCTAAATTATATATCTATAGTTATCTACATACCTATACATAGAATTGAGTAGTTTCTTCAATAATTTATTTATTTTCTATGTCAAAAATAAATTAATTTGACGTTTAAATACAATAAAATATTGAAAAATAACTATACTTTTATTCGTTGCTCGATCGATACACTAAATTTTATATATTTTTTAGCTAATTTTTATTAAATAAATAATCTATTTGACGCAAAAGTTCTATGACGTCATAACTCAGTGTGTGTTTGAAAAGTATCGTTTTGACATTTGGATAAAAGTATTGAATTTGACTAGTTGGAAACTACCGTATTGGAGTTTCTGTTTTTTAAATTGAAATAACCCATTTTTTCCCACACATCTTCTTTCTTTGTTTATTTATTTTTCATTTACATAAACACCAATTAACACATTACATTGCCTGTTTATAGTGTATACATAAACCAATTTATTTATTTATTTGAATCTACACATACAATGTACAGGGCACACAAATTAAACACTTAAAAAAATTGGTCTGTCTGTATGTTTGTTCCGGCTAATCTTTGGAATAGCTGAACCGATATTTACCGGAATAAATCCAACGCGGACAAAGTTGCGGGTAATAAGCTGGTTTTAATAAACAAACAATATTATACGATTTCCCTATTTTGTCCATATAGAAAGTTGAATATAATCACAAAATTAGTCTCGTATCAATATCTAGAACGATATAATAATTAATACCTTGTTATAATCTGATTATTCACTTCAATAAGATATTTAAAGTATAAAATTTTCCTGTAATACATTCATCGTACAGTGTTATTAAGAATAATATATTTAGAAAATACCTAGTCCTAAGTCTACGTATTTTTTTTTAAGTATTGCTTACTAGGTTTTTTTATGAGATAGATCGACAAGCTGATTGTAAGTAGGTAATCGGCGCCGGCCATGAACACCCGCAACACCAAAGGAGTAACGAGTGAGTGAGAGGCCTTTTGGGGATAACGATTTCGGATATTTAATAATTGGGAAGAGATGGGGCACGGGGATTGGGTATATGGTAACGTCACTCACACGACGATAGTGGATGTATCTCACCGGTTTTCTGTGAGGCCGTGGTATCATTCTGACCGAGCCGACCCATTCGTGCCGAAGCTTGGCTCTCCGACACTTTCGCACTGTGTCGTAAGTGGGATTTTTCGAGGGGTTAATCAATAGCGATCTCGAAAATTCAACATGAAATCATCAAAACTCCGCCTCATTTTGAAGGGGGGGGGAGGGCGTTGTCTGACTCTTACTGACAAAAAACCACTCTGTTGCTGTTCAAAATTCAAAAATTTTGCCCACAACTTATTTAACAGTAGAGCTTACTCCAATTAACGCTTCGAAGATCACCGCACATACTATTTAAGAGCCCCGGACGCAGCCCCGAAATTAGCCGAGCAGCTTCCTCGAAATATTTGGAACTATACATAATAATTAAATCAATTACCTAATTTATTTATTTTATTTTTATTTATTTAGACTTTTGCACATACATCTGTGTACAAGGTGGACTTAAGGCCACAGACATTCTTTCCCAATTAACAAAAAAGACTAATTCTTTATGTTAATACCATTTCAGACAGCGCTTCTTACAAATATGCAAGGGAATAGTACCGGCCGGTAACGTGAGGGTAGTCAAAGAGCCATCCTTAGTAGCAAAGAATTTGAAACCTGAAGAGTATATCAATAAGGTATGTTTTACATGGTCACTATAAATTTATTTTAATGCAGTAAAAATTAGTAAATTACTTGTAGGTAAAAATCAAAAGGCAACACAAAAAAACCGACTTCAAAAAGTAAACTAAAAAGCAAAAAAATAATTTATGTACTTCGTTCAAAGTAATACATATTTTCATTTAGTTAAATCGAAAATAAACTATTTTATAATTTTGAATTCGGTGCCAAGTAAATGCTGCCTGTGTTCTGTCGAATTCGAACATCGGCAAGTTGTAGCGTTGTCAAAAGCCTACTAAAACCACATGCAAAAGCACCACAAACCCCTACAATGTTTGAAAGTTCCCCTCGATTTCTCAGATCTTACATCATCAGATCCTGATTTCCTTATCATGGGACTATCTCCTTTCCAACAAAAAATAACTATCAAAATCGGTTCATAAATAACGGAGATATCGGCGAACAAACATAGAAAAAAAGCATATAATAGGTATTTACCTATGAAATTGCCGTTCTGCAGGCTACTGGCCATTTCAAATCAAAATAGTTTTTGTTAGGCTAAGGCTAATTAATTTTGTTTTAAAAACATGGGATTCTTTTTTCAAAAGTATTAGTCATTTGTTTATTGATTAGTGTTACATTTTCATAACATTTCAAATAAAAAATAATTGTTTAAATTTTTTCATGCAAAACGGCAATTTCATATATAAAGACCTATTATACGGTCGAATTGAGAACCATCCTCCTTTTTGGAAGTCGGTTAAAAAATCATGAAACTTATGTAACGTACTTTATGGATGGTCCCTTACCAACATATTTTGCTGTTCATTTTTATATTATAGGTTTATGTTCCGCGTGGGAATTAAACGCCACACTTTCCTCTGTATCCTATCTACCGGATCAACTACGCATTTTTTTTTTATGTGGTAGGACGCCAAACGAGCGATGTGATTATCTGATGGTAAGCAATTAGCGCCTCCCATAGACATCCGCAACAACAGAGTAGTGACGAGTGCGTCACCGATCTTTTTTGGATTAGGGATTAGGAGATTTTAGGATTGGGAAGTAATAGGGCAAGGTGAAGGATTGGGCCTCCGGTAACGTCACTCACACGGCGAAACACAACGCTGTGGTGGTTTTACGCCGGTATTCTGCGAGACCGTGGTATTACTTCGGTCGAGCCGACCCATTCGTGCCAAAGCATGGCTATCCTAAATTTTATTACTTCTTTTGTTTCTGATCTCTGCAGATCCAAGAGCTACTCTATGACGATGTATTCATAACATACGGGGAGCACCCTCGTCTACTATCAGTACTGTCTCAGTTCATTGGGGATGACATCACCGCCGTCAACAGCATGTTCATCAACAAGCCTCCTGGATCCTCGCGCCATCCACCACACCAGGTTTGTAAAAGCCAAGATATTTTGTTTTATATCACTACATAGAATTAAAACTGAGTCGCTTTCTCTGTACCTATGTCCCTATATATAAGTTTTTTTTTTATAATTAAGATCCGCATCGTTTTTTTTTATGTAATAGATCGGCAAACAAGCAGACGGATTACCTGATGGTAAGTAATCAGCGCCGCTCATGGACACCCACAATGTAGGAGTTACGAGTGCGTTGTCGTCCTTTTAGGGATTAGGGATTTGGTGATTTAGGGATTGAAGAGGAATTGGGTCTGGGGAAGGTTTGGGCCTCCGGTAACCTCACTCACACGGCGAAACACAACGCTGTGGTTGTTGTACGCCGGTTTTCTGTGAGGCCGTGGTATCACTCCGGTCGAGCATGAGCATGTCTCTCCCACACTTAAAACACGTTACCCGTTGTTTATATCCCACCTTCACGGACGCAGCAATTCGGTTTTCTCATCTATACGATACTTAATATTATAATGCCGAAGAGTGTGTTAGTTGGTTTTTTTGTTTGAACGCGGTAATCTCAGGAACTACTAGTTCGAAAAAGTGGGTAAAAATGTTTTTGTGTTTAATAGACCATTTTATTGAGGAAGTCTAGGCTATAAAACATCACGCTACGATCTGTAGGATCGGGATCTGTGTTCCCTGGGTGCCTTCAGGGCACAAGGCTCCAAGTGAATAGGTTGCTTATGATTAAGCGTGCTCCATCGTTGATCGCATAATCGCCTACCACCAGGCAAGATAGCAGCCAAATAATAATATTAATATTATTATATTAACCTGAAACGCGAAAATTTTAAAAATTAGTATAAGAAGTGATTAGTAGTCGGCTCATTGAAAAAGCGTTGTGTTTCGCCGTGTGAGTGGGGTTACCGGAGGCCCAACCCTTCCCCTCCCCCGATCCCCAAAAGGTCGGCAACGCACTCGTAAGTCATCTGTTGTTGTGGGTATCCATGGGCGGTGCTGATTGCTTACCATCAGGTAATCGGGCTACCCGTTTGACGTCCTATCACATTAAAAAAATAAAGACCCTGGTGTTATGCTTCTACGTGTAATTCTCAGGACTTATTCTACTTCCCATTCCGTCCTGCGGAGAAGATCATCGGTGCTTGGACGGCCGTGGACCACGTGAACGTTGAGAACGGATGCCTGTACGCTGTACCCGGGTCTCACAAGGCGAAGACCCTGTACCAACACGCTGGGAAGAAGGTACAATTATTTTAAATCGCTTTTTTGACTTCCTCGTTCATAAAATATGGGCCTCTAGCATGACTTGAAACTGGTCGAGTATCTCGTTTAATTACTACGTGAGTAAGCCGAAAACATAATAATGAATTGTATACACTTATCAATGTTTTCTCATATAGACTAAAATACCCTATTACAGGATGCCTTGAAACTTTATCACGGTGTAGATGAAGAGGAAATTGCTCCTTTGGACCAGAGAGTTCACCTCGAGATGAGTCCGGGAGACACTGTGTTCTTACACCCATACTTGCTGCACGGTTCTGGACCTAATGTCTCTAAGGTAAGGTCCTAATCACCTTAATTAATTATTATTATTATTTATTAGCCTATACCAGTGACTTCGTCTCGTAATATTTGATTATTTTTACTTGTATAGCGCTTCAACACTATATCCGTCCATCAAGTTATATACCGCTTACATTACCTACCTATCAGTAAAATTCCAGTCAAAATCGGTTCAGCCATTCCAAAGATAAGCCGGAACAAACAGACAGACAGACAAACAAACATTGTGAAAAATGATAATTTTGTGTATGTACCGGTATATATTCCTTATGTGCATGTAGTAAAAATTTTAGTAAAACTATTAGAGTTTTACTAAAATTTTTAAGTAAAAACTAATCTAATGTAAGTAAAAACTATATTCATACAAAACTAAAGTATAAAGCGTCCTCAAGGGACCTCACCTCTCCCCAAAGTAAGATTCAATGTTTTTTGTGAGGCCGTGGTATCACTCCGGTCGAGCCGACCCATTCTTGCCGAAGCATGATCTCCCACACTTTTTCCTTCACAAAAAACATAGTAACACATAATAAAAAGTATAAAAACTAAAACCCAACTAGGTCCGGCAAAAAAGTATAAAACAAGACTTTCAGAATACTGAAAGGCGTAGTCAAAGTGTAGTAGGTATATATAACGTGTGACTACGCCTTTTATTAATCTCAACTTTATTTTTTACTCTGAATATTTTGCCCGCTAGAGGGCGCTACATTAGTTTTTGTGACACCCCATATAGCCTATAACCAGCGGACAATTAGGACGTTTCTAATGATATGTCATTTGTCGAATTCTGATAAGTAGTTTAGAAGTTACGAGGGAACGGATGAACATACATACATACATAGCCTGTCAAGATCATAACCCTCCTTTTGCTTTGCCGTAGTCGGGTAAAAACTATATGTATATTAATCATTTCACAGAACTACAGAAAAGCCATAACGTTCCACTTCGCGAATAGTTCGTGTGAGTACATCGACCTAGAGGGCACGCTGCAGGAACATTTGGCTAAGGAGGTCGAAGCACAGGCCGCTAAAATGGGACTTGGAGAACTCAACTATATTGTAAGTAATTTGTATTTTTCAAAACACTTCCTCATAAAGTGGCTGTAATCCTACGGCAAATAGTCACATAATGACACCTATAATCAAACTGTGACTTTTTCATTACTTTTACTGAAAAGTGAGCTACAAAGATTTAAAAAAAAGGTCGGCAAACGAGCAGACGGATTACCTGCTGGTAAGTAATCAGCGCCGCCCATGGACACCCGTAACGGAGGAGTAACGAGTGCGTTGCCGACCTTTTAGGGATTAGGGTTTTGGAGACTTAGGGATTGGGGGTGGGGAAGGATTGGGCCTCCGGTAACCTCACTCACACGGCGAAACACAACGCTGTAGTTGTTTCACGTCGGTATTTTGTGAGGCCGTGGTATCACTTCGGTTGAGCCGACCCATTCGTGCCGAAGCATGGCTCTCCCACACTTAAGTAAGCACTTAGTCATCATCATAAGAGGGAATGTCAGACTCTTACTGACTAAAAACCACTCTATCCCATCGCTTCAAGCTGGGGACGCAGTACATTCTTGCGCTTGACCCCCAACCCCCAACTGATAGAATAATTTATAGACACTAAGGGAATTTTTTTTTATTTGTCTAATTGTATTGAATGGAATCCGAATCTAAAACCCCCGGGACTTGCTAGTTACACAGTTTACAATGTTTTTTAGCTGTGTTTGGAGTTTTTATTTAAAATCACTTTGTTTTCAGGATGTATGGAGATTCAAGAGCAAACAAGTGAAGGGAGTTCGTTCCAACTTGTAGAGCACAATTAATAAATATGTATGTATAGATGTACATTACCTATATAAAGTTTGTTTTTATATACTGTATATTGTTATTAAAAATAAAGACTTATTCATGTGAATTAAAACTGGGAAGCCGTCACAAGTTTGTCCCAAGCTTGCTTTCAAAGGATCGCGTGAGGATACTATCCTCTTTACGCCCCAGTCGCCGCAGTGGGCGACACTCCGGACGTCGGAGGTCGAGACATGATCGCCGGCCACGGTAAGCGCGGGTCTGAAGGGCGATTAAAATAGATCCTACTTTAAAATAAATGCTCATGGATATTTCTTGTAACTAGAAACAAGTGTGAAAGAGCCATGCTTCGGTACGAATGAGTCGGCTCGACCAGAGTGATACCACGGCCTCACAGAAAACTGGCGTGAAACAACCACAGCGTTGTGTTTCGCTGTGTGAGTGAGGTTACCGGAAGCCCAATCCTTCCCCTCCCCAATCCGTCCTTAATCCCTAAATCTCCAAATACCTAATCCCTAAAACGTCGGCAACGCACTCGTAACTCCTCCGTTGCCGGGTGTCCATGGGTGATTGCCGATCTATTACATAAAATAAACCTTTCTCAGTAAATTCACGTGAATAAGTCGTTATTTTAAATATATTGAGTATGCAGCACGATACTTACTGTCTGACTTCTGTAGATTTTTTAAACTGGCTGTCGTTCGTTGACCAAAGCAAAGATTTATTTTATACCTATACTGAGATGTTTTATATAGACTATAAGTTATACATAGAGGGCACAGGTAACATTATAATATATAGTTGTGTACAGACTTACATATACATACAGTACAGTACAGTACTAGTTTAGTTTACCGTATTGTGTAAAGCGGGTACATGGTGATTTCGGGTTTGAAACCTACATATGTAGAAGGTAATCTTATATATAAAAATGGATCGCAAAATGTGTTGGTAAGCGCATAACTCAACAACGCCTGGACCAATTTTGCTAATTCTTTTTTTGTTGTGTTTGTTATTGTCAGGAGAAGGTTCCTATCAAAGAAAATATTAGAAAAGTTTAGGAATGGTGACCCTTTGATAGCGAGATAGTTGGACCCGTGCGATGCAGGGGCGGGCCGCTAGTAGGTAATACAAGTTACACCTACAGTGACGTTCAGTCAGACTGACAAATTATAAAAAAATCAAAGTTAGACACTATTGATAATAGATGGCGCTAGTTACATACATACCATTTTGTTGTAATACTAGCAGTACGAATGTGAGTTTTGTGAGTTTAGACACCACTGACATACGGTTAAGGTAAACATCGTGAGGTAAAATGGACTTGATTTTAACAATTCCTTGTTCTAAGTTTGATATCACCAATCCGTCTAGAGCAATCGTGGTGATCAATGATCAAACCTTCTCCGTGTGAGAAGAGGCCTTTGCTCAGCTGGTGCTTAAAGACTAATAATAACGGGTCAGGATGAAAATCTATTAAATAATGACAGTATGGAGATAAGTATTTACATGTACTACACTTATAAAATGGTGTCGGCTTCAAAAAAATTGAAAATCGTACTTACGAATAAATAAACATATTTCAAACTTCAGCTTAAGAAATAATGACAACACAATGATTACTGAATCCAACCATTAATTAGTATTTTGTTACATAATCGTTACTAAGAATAGTTTAATGTAATTACATTTATAAATAAATCATAATTACATAATATTTGCCATACACAAGAAGTCCATTCAATGGAAAATACATCTTTTTTCCATTGTGATATGAGTAAAAATGTAATTACACCTTCATAACAAGTTGTATTATCAGCATTTATTATCTTTATGTAATATATTCATCGTTTTTTCGCGTAGTACGTACCCACTTTTCAAACGAACAATTGCCAAAAGAGAAATAAAAAAAACATATGGGAAATTGTAAAGACAATCAACGTCATTATGAATCTATGTTTGTATCTTTTTTATTATTTAATTCAATAAGAAATATAACTATTGTGTTATAAAATAGACAAGATAAATATTTCACTAGCTTTTTCCCGCGACTCCGTTCGCGTGGAATAGTGATTCCAGCCGATTTTCGGTATAAAAACTATCCTATGTCCTTTCTAGAGTTCCAACCTGTGTCTGTACCAAATTTCACAGAAATCGGTTTAGTAGTTTAGGCGTGAAAAACAGACAAACAGACAGACTTGCATGGGCACATTTATAATATAAGTTTGGATTGGGTTCTTGTTCTTTTCGAAAGCGTGTCAGACTCTTAACAACTCTTATGTATGGCTTAAAAGGAATTGTAAAGAAAATATTGATGGGTAAGGGGCCATAACATTTTTCTGTGTTTGACATTGCCTGAAAAAAGTCTTGCAAAAAATAAAATCTGAAAATAATAATCTATTCAATGACCTAACGGTTCGGTAACAAAACAAATGAATGACACCGAGGCGCGAGGTAGTTGACATGCCCTGGCGCGTCGCTAATTTAAATATCTTATTGTATTGAAAATGTATTAAACAATTGTAATTTGAGGGTAACGTTTTTCTACTCAACAGACGTCACTAATGTAGCTTAAGCTAATGTCAAACCCTTTGACATTCAATGTCAAATGTCAGACATTTAGGTAGTTAATATAAGAAAGTCAGTAGCATTTTGGCTAATGAACGACCTTTATTTCGTTTAAACATTCAATAAATAAGATCACAGATATTACTGTAACCAAATCACCAAATAGAGGGACTTGATATCAAATAGTCCAAATAAAGAATTTCCTCATGGCAACTCTTTGAAATATATTTTTTTGACAGCTACGATATTGTGACAACAGAACCTCCTGCTACATAATAACGCCATCTATTGAGTGCTACTATAATTAGAATTTAAACCAATCAGGTGCTTGGGCCAATGAGATTTATAATCAAATTGTAATATTTTTTATTTTAATATTTTATTAAATTATGCTCAAAATGTGAATTAAGTGATTATTATTGTGATAAGAACATATTATGAAAATAAATATTTTAATATAAATTCTAGTTTTATTTTTCTGATTCCAAAATTATAACCCGTTCCCACATCTGAAAGATTAAGTACACATAGGGTTTTACATTGTCTAAATTACCATTACATATTTTTCACGTCATAAAAACACGACAACGACACACAAAAATACAAATTACCTGATGGTAAGCAATCGGCGCGGTCCATGGACCATCGCTATGCCAGAGGAGTTACGAGTGCGTAACTTTTGGAGATAAGGGTTTCACCAATTTTAGGATTAGGGTAGGGGAAAACGGTTCTTACTCCAGGACTTAATTATGTTGTAGGTATGACTTATTGCACTTACTGTTTGACGAGTTAACTCAACTGGTATCAAGCCTCGCCGGGAGCCCGTAGTCAAAATTAACATACACGAACATTAACGGAGTGAATTTTTTTTGTGCACGGCAAAGTATCAGGTGGATTACCTGAAGGTAAGCAATCAGCGCCGCCCATGGACATCCGCATCTCCAGAATTACAAGTACGTTGTCTTTCAAGCGAAAATAAGAAAGAAGGTTTTATTTAACAATTAGGTATTATCTTGGATCCGATGATGTAAGTAAATATTTATGAGATGTCTAATTAATAATTCAATAGTAATCAATTTTCTGCGATTGTATTTTATTTCTTTACTTCACAACCATTATCTTATTGATTAATCTTCTTGTAGGTAATACTTACTTACTATTAGGTACTTAAATTCTTAAGTCTTAACTTACAATATTTTTACAGATTTATTTAAGTTGCAGACAAGTACGTATTTTGTACACATATAAGTAGGTACCTACTTATATTCAAGTGTGGGAGAGCCAAGCTTCGGCACGAATGGGTCGGCTCGACCGGAGTGATACCACGGCCTCACAGAATACCGGCGTGAAACAACCCACAGCGTTGTGTTTCGCCGTGTGAGTGAGGTTACCGGAGGCCCAATCCCTCCCCTTCCCCTATCCCTTCCCAATCCTTATATCCGCAACCCCCATCCCCAAAAGGCCGGCAACGCACTCGTAACTCCTTTTGGTGTTGCGGGTGTCCATGGGCGGCGCCGATTGCTTACCATCAGGTAATCCGTCTGCTCGTTTGCCGACTTATACCATAAAAAAAAATACAACTGAGGAGTATGCCTCTATGAACAATCGACTGACAGTCATGGGTCATGGGTCGTATGATGATCATTTGGAAACCACGTAAGTAAATTTTGTGGTCTTTATCAACGCCAGCACCATTCTACTGTTCTTCAACACCTTTATTTCTCTCCAAAAAAATCCAAAAATCATCGTATTTTAACTAACCGCTATATAGGCATTGGGGCCATGGCCGCACCAAAACGGAACTGTGACAGTTTTTAACCGCGTCACATTATATTGTAAGTATTTGCAGCAATAAAAGCCGAAATATGAAAAATTATTGAAGGGCAAACGTTACTGACATAACTCTTAAAATCTCCAAGTTTTAAATGGCAATGAACAGGCCACATCGCTCAAACGAAGGACAGGCGTAGTCAGAAAAGTGCTTGGATGGCGACTAGTCAGACTACTATGCAGACCAGTCCTAGTCGGGGAGCCAATGGAGGCGAGTGGCCACTTTTCGCTCGACATGGAGAACTATAGAGGAGTCCTTTTTCCAGCAGTGGACGTTTTCCGGCGGATGATGATGATGATGATTAATATTTATCGTAAAACAATGCGGGTATAATCAGTTTATAATTACCTACACTCAATTGCCCGGTAAAAATAGTCAAATGTTTTATTCTAAATGAAACAAAAGGACAATCAATGAACTTATTAACAATGGGAACAGTCACTAGGAATTTCGTTTTATACCTAAACAATTCTATTATGATTTAGCAACACAAATATTTTATCTACGTAGTCATCTTAATTTAATTTATCAACAAAAAGTTTGAAACTACATACACAGTTCTTACATTTGAGGACCATTTTCTAACGGACTCCTAATTGATTGAATCATTGTATCAAATAATATGTACCTATTTACCTACAAGTTTCCCAAACTGCTTATTATTTGCATTTGTATAATTACGATTTAATCGGCTGTAAGTAGTTTGAGAACGACCACGCTTGAAATAACGTGTTAATTTCAAATAGAGAAACAAAACTTTGTCTGTGAATCGTTGTGTGTGATTAAAACGTGCAAAATAAAAACAAATAATTATTTGATTGCAGTGAAAATGGCGAATAGACATTTTAAAATAACGCCAAAACGGTGAATATGTTTTTTTTTTAAATTTTGTTCTAGTAATTTCGCTTGATTCAAATTCGACTTCCTAAAATTCTCATGAGAATTTTTCCGTTTACCTGAGACCTTTCGCCCCATTTTTTTCCTAAACAATACATACATTGTTTTTGTAAAAAGTAATTTCATATCCAGAAATATAACATCAACGTCATCAGGTGTTGTCGACTGCTGGCCATAGACCTCTCTGATATCTAATGACCAGCTGAAAATCTAGAACTTCAAATGCAAATCCGACCACTGCCGTTGCTACAGTGGATTTCGTCAATCCATTATGGTTCAGAACCGAATGGCGTTGAAATGCCGTAATGCTGAGCGGGAGGAAATAGAAACCCGTTTCCTCTTTTTGCGAAGCAGTCATGCTAGTTAAGGAGGGAAAGCGCGTTTAAGCAACGATCCTGGTAGTGCTCGCGGGCATCACGTGGGCGCTTGTCTACGAATGACCGACAGACCTGAGCGTCAGACAGATGGGGCCCACCAGTGCCGATGTCTATCTGGGGCTGCGAATTGACGGAGTGATTTTTGTCAGTAAGATTGTGACCCTACCTCTTGACCTACTCAGAACTGGACAAGGCATTAGGCCCCTCTCAAAAAGAGGACGCTGAAAGTGTCGGCACTAGGTAGACTGAAATGTCTCCTTCGGTATCGGTTCTGTATGGGTAGATCTTTATTGACCGATCAAATTGTGATGATCGCGAACGAGTCTTTAGAGAACTATCACTGGAAGTCTTTTGGATGAGTACGTTGATGTGTATTCTTTGTCGGATAGTGTGGCAAACGAAATGGCAAATCGATATATCGAGGACGGTAAGCAATCGCCCATGGAAACTCACAACGCGAGAAGAGTAACAAGGACAGTACGGAGTAACATCTTCGTTAGCGATTTGAGGATTAGGGAATTGGGGACGGTCGCGGATCAAGCGTAATGAGGTACCGTGACCTCGGCCCTCGAGCAGGAGAAGGAACAGGAGGGTAGTCAGTAAGAGTCTGACACTTCCTCTCGCCGTACCCTGGGCGAGAGAAAGCATGTGATCATTTTCCCTCCACGAAAAAAATCGGGAATTGGATATGAGATATAGGAGGGCAGGTAAAATTGGGACTACAGTATTCTCACTCACAGGGCTAGACATAACGCAAGCATAGATTTCTAATAAATTAGTCAAGATAATGCGAGAAATAGATTATATCTATGATGTTTTTTTAATTCAGTGTATCTGCTGACCCGTCGACCACGTATCCTCTATCTGCGGAGCAACTTCAGTTTTACAACGACAATGGCTACCTGGTCATCAAGAAACTCATTGGGATTCCAGCTCTGAATAGTTACAGGTAAGGTCCAGAATTACTTAAATCACTTGATCCTATAAACGATTCCTTCGGTACTTCTTTACAATGAACTTAAGGGTCCACGACCCTTGCGAAAAGTTGGATAACTATCGACTCCATGTTATTTAATGAGATTCTTACTTATCATACAAGTAGATACACCAGTCATGAGTCCGAGGTTGCGGGGTACCTAAGCGCAATAAGGCACCGCGGCCTCGGCCCAGAGCAGGAGAAGGAACAGGGGGGTTTTTACTCAGTAAGCGTCTGTTACTCTCTCTCGCCTTACCCTGGGCGGGAGAAGTAATTTGATGATATTCCCCTGACAAAAAAACTTAACGTAATTTAATTGGAGAAAATTGTTTTGTTTCTTTCAGACAACGTTTCACGGATGTATGCGAGGGTCGTGTGGAGAAGGGGCGTGTCGCTGTCGTCAAGGATCGAGCTCTGTGCAAGAACCAAACGAAACCTGAGGATTTCATCAATAAGGTGAGAGACGGACTAGGCTTGAAGAGCCCCTAAATCATGTTTATTGCCCCCATCAAGGTTGGGGCCAAGGTGGCAATAGCCTATTTCAAAATTTCCCCAAGTGTGAGAGAGCACGATTTGGCTCGCTCAACCGGAGTGATACAACAGCCTTATAGAAAACCGGCGTGAAACAACGCTAATTCGTTTGTTTCGCTGTAAGTTCGGCTCCTGTTACATAAAAAATATTTATCTTGAAGTCTCTCTCTCTCTCTATCTCTCTCCCTCTCTCTCCAATGAATAAGATTTCCGTATTGAATTGAAACTTAAGTAGTAGAGATTTTCTCTCTGAAGCCGTGTTTTTCTCAATTAATTTACTGTTTTTTCAAAATGATTTTTGGGCCTGTTTTTTCTTTATATCTGATAAATAATTTTTCGTCCATTATTTGACTGTTAAATATATAAACAAGGAAATCACATTACTCGTACAACAAAGAAATATACCTATAAACAATATGAACTTGAATACAAACAGTACCGATATTTGAATTAATAAAAACAAATGATCGCGACCTTAACACGAACTCAATGCGGGGCTGAATTACGTAACATTATAATTAGTTTTTATTATCTACGCATAACTGTGATTTACGTTCAAACAAATAAATTAGATAATATACTCAATTGTAATAAATAAATAAAAAGTATAAATTATATCCTTAAGTGTAGGAGAGCCATGCTTCGGCACGAATGGGTCGGCTCGACCGGAGTGGTACCATGACCTCACAGAAAACAGACGTAATATCACCACAGCGTTGAGTTTCGCCCAATCCTTCCCCTAATCCTAAAACCACCAAATCCCCAATCCCCAAAAAGGTCGGCTACACACTCATAACTCCTCCGTTGTTGCGAGTGTCCATGGGTGGCGCTGATTGCTTACCATTTATCACATACCAAAAAAATACTACACTGCTCTAAGTACCTAATTGAGTTGCAAACAGATTAAATAGGAACCTGAATGAACTTGTGTTGTTAAACATATTTTTCGATTCATTTCGGCACGTAACTCAACAAACGCCTTGACTAATTTTAACAATTAACTCTTTCATCATTAATTTCATTGTTTATGTCAGAAGGTTCTTATGAATGAGAATTTATATGTATAAATAGAGGTAGACATAGCGACCCTATCGTCGTTAGAAAGACACACGAGAGAAGCAGTATCGAATCACTAGTACATATATATTATAGTATGTTTAAAAATATGTTTCTTTTGTTATTTCGTACCTCGTCATAGACAAACTTGAACCCGACAAAATTACATATTCGTAGATTCCAAATGTACATGAGAATTATAATTAAATAGAATTTTAATAGAAGAGGTCTGCCTCGTTGTCCGTGTTATCGAAAATGTTATTGTGGAGCTAGGGGTCTCGGGTTCGATTCCGGGGCCGTGAAGGTCGGTATTATAGGGATGTTTTTCTTTTTTTTTTCTTTTCCAATTTTTTTTTCAATATTCTTATTTTCATTCTTCAATTTAGCATGATGCCTGGTATATGAAGATCCCCTTTTACCTACATGGGCGTTTTGCGTGTTGAAAAGCGAGTGCACGATGTATTTTTGTAGCATTTTGTTATTATTACAAGTTATTCTCACTCCTACAGATCGTAGCGTGAGTTTTTATAGCGCACAGCCTTTCTTGGTAAATGGACTAACAAACATAAAAAATATTGGTCAATTCGAGCCAGTAGTTTCTAAGATTAGCGTGTTGAAACAAACAAACAAACTTTACAGTTTAATTATATTAGTAAGTAAGTACTAGCTTTTGCCGCGACTCCGTTAGCGTGGAATAGTGACTTCCGATTCGATTTTTTTATAAAAACTATCCTATGTCCTTTATTGAGTTCCAAAGTATGTCTGTACCAAATTTCACAGAAATCGGTTCAGTAGGTTGTTTAGACGTGAAGAAAAGACAGACAAACAGACAGAGTTACTTTCGCATTTATAATATTAGTTTGGATAGATGTGCTACTGCAACTTGCCAGGAAAAAAAAAGCGGCACGATATAAAAAAAAATTAACCTACATAATTATTGACATATTGTTGTTTATACCATACTGTGAATACTGGTAGAGATATCGTCTTCCATTCTGTCATCACAGATCCAGGAGTTACTGTACGACGAAGTCTACAGCACGTACTCCGAGGACCCTCGCCTGCTGCATATAGTGGAGCAACTGATCGGCCAGGATATCACCGCCGTCAACTGCATGCTCATCAACAAACCGCCCGGCACCTCCGAACATCCTCCACACCAGGTAACAACGTCTTCTTTGAGAAAACAATCCGGTAGTTCCCAACTAGTCAAATTCAATACTTTTATCCAGATGTCTATGAAATTTGCATGAAAAACTGAGTTATGACGTCATAGTTTTTTTGGGTCAAATAGCTTACTTATTTCTTTATAATTAGCTAAAAAATATCTAAAATTCAGTGTATCGATCGATCGATGAAAAAAATATAGGTATTTTTCAATATTTTATTGTATTAAAACGTCGAATTAATTTATTTTTGACATAGGAAACTACCCGATTGCAAAAGAAATTTTACCGACTTTTTTACATTTTAAAAACGATTGAGTCTTATAAGAAGCATATTATTAACTACCCTGGTGGGTGGTATTAAGTGTGGGAGAGCCATGCTTCGGCACGAATGGGTCGACTCGACCGGGGTGATACCACGGCCTCACAGAAAACAGGCGTGAAACAACCACAACGTTGTGTTTGACCGGATGAGTGAAGTTACTAGAGGCGCAATAGAGGGGAAGGATTCCATGTCCTAAATCTCTAAATCCATAATCTCTAAAAGGTCGACAACGCACTCGTGGGTATCCATGGGCGGCGCTGATTGCTTACCATCAGGAAACCATCTGATCGTTGACCATCCAAACTAATATAATAAATGCGAAAGTAACTCTATCTGTCTGTCTGTATCTCTGTCTTTTCTTCACGCCTAAACTACTGAACCTATTAGTGTCAAATTTGGTACAGACATAGTTTGGAACTCGAGAAAGGACCTACATTGGATAGTAATTAAACCAAAAATCCTCAGGATGTCACTATTCCAAGCAAACAAAGACGCGGGCAAAAGTTTTAAACAGGCTTTGAAATTATTGTTTAAATATGTTCTTTATCTGATTTATTGTCCCAGGATCTCCTCTACTTCCCGTTCCGGCCAGCAGACAAGATTATAGCGACCTGGACAGCCATCGACCCGGTGAACCGGGACAACGGCTGCCTGTACATGCTTCCGGGGTCACACAAACACAACGTTTTATATGAACATAAAGATCAAGTCAATGTAAGTTATCTTGACCTTGATTTGCTTAAAACTTGGTTTTCGAATTTTTTTTTTATTGAATAGTTTAGCAAATGATCATACGAATTACCTGATGGTAAGCAATCAGCGCCACCCGTAGACACCTGCAAGAACAGAGGAATTAAGAGCGCGTTGCCATCCTTTTTGGGATTAGGGATTTAGAGATTTAAATTGGGAAGGAATTATTCATCTCACTCACCCGGCGAAACACAACGATGTGGTTGTTTCACACCGGTTTTTTGTGAGGCCGTGATATCATTCCGGTCGAGCCCACCCATTCGTGCCGAAGCATGGCTCTCCCACATTTGATAGGTATACTTATTGCAATTAAAATGGAACAAGGCCCTGGCCTACAACAAATACATAGCTTCACTAAGAGGAATGACCGACAGACTGACACTATATCTTCAAAATGTTGTTTGACGTTCAAAAGTGCCTGTAAGGGTCTAATTGGAATAAATTAATTTTTGACTTTTTCACAGTGAAATACTGACACTTTTATACAAGTTACGTTACGCCGTGTGAGTGAGGTTACCGGAGGCCCAATCCTTCCCCTTCCCAATCCCTCCCCAGTTCCTAAATCTCCAAATCCCTAATCCTTAAAAGGTCGGCAACGCACTCGTAACTCCTCCGTTGCGGGTGTCCATGGGCGGCGCTGATTGCTTACCATCAGGTAATCCGTCTGCCCGTTTGCCAACCTATTAAATAAAAAAAAAAGTCATATGGTTTTCAGAACTGTAAAAAATTTTCTTTATTTTTGTCTCTGAAACTACTGGACTCATTTGTAGAATACTTAACTGCCTTTATAGGTAAATCTTACATTGTTTTTAAATGAATGTTTTGTTCCGATATTAATACAAGATCGAGACTTACTTACATAATTAATTCTTCTGAATAACAGACCAGGGATGTCCGTAAAGAGAATTCGCAATCAATATTTCAATCGTGGTCGGCAAATCGAGACAGAATTAAATAACAGACGTTCAACTAACAATTTAAGCTGGTTGCAGGAAGCCAAGCTGTTTTTCTATGGCATCGTGGAAGAAAAGCTAATAGCACCAGAGCACGAGCGAGTCTACCTGGATATGGAGCCAGGCGATACCGTGTTCTTCGTGTCTAACATTGTGCATGGATCCAGACCTAACATCTCTAATGTAAGTATCAAAAGCCGTCGACTGCTTACAATCAGGAGTTTTCAAAAAAAATGAGTTCTCTGCGAAGTCGATTTAGGGTTGGACCTCATCTGGCAGCACGGAATCGCATTTGTTCCGCCTGTGCTACCACGTGCTGCAGTATGCTGCTACATGCGAACGCTCGCTATCGCATTCCGCAGACAAAAAAGGCGATCGCACAAAAACGTGAAAGGATGCGTTAGCATGCTATCGCACACTTCAGCGTTCCGGAGTCTCCCACCGACCATTGCATTTTGTCCGTGATGCCGATCGCCTCGAGGACTCCGCCGCGCGCTATCGCATTATGCTTTCTGTCTCAGTCTAGCAAATGATAGTTCTAAGCGACAGAAAGAGAAAGGGCGACGGAATAAGGCGACTCCGTGCTGCCAGATGAGGTCCAATCCTTAGTAGCATGAACCGAACTAAGCCGATCGAACCGATCATGTCTCTCTCTCGTTCGTGCCGCGCTGTCGCTTGCGAAACGCGACAATGAGCGTAACGGGACTATGACGTCATGTTTTTAGTATCGAGTTATTAGACGTTGACATGTCACGTTAAAAATAGAGGAAGAGTCTTCGGTAACCTCACTCATATAGCGAAACACAACGCTGTGATTTTTTCGGTGTCACTCCAGTCCCAAAATCAAATTGTAAGTATGTAACATCGATATTTTATAAATATTTACAGGAATAATAATATTAAATGAAAATAAATAGTCTGACAAGGGGTCTTACCACGAGTCAGTAAAGAGCTTAAAATGATACCCGCTGCTCGGCTCTTACAGATAATAGCGTGATGTTTTTATAACCTAAAGCCTTCCTCGATAAATTATATATTGAGCATAGATGGCTACAATGTTCCTGAGTGCTATAGACTATAAACATCACGCTACGATTAAATGGAGCCGAGCAGCGGGTGAAACCGCGCGAGAGTAGCTAGTATATAATATATAAGTATATATGTAGATATGATAGATCTACCGTTATATACTCCGCAGTCGTACCGCAAAGCGATGACATGCCACTACGCTAGCAGTGAGTGTCACTACATCGACGTGGTGGGCACTCCGCAGCAAAACATCGCCGAGCACATGGAGGCCGAGCTGAAGAGGCGAGGAGGAGACCTCAGCTATGTTGTGAGTTTTACATTATTACTGAGAAAAAGATTAACTAAAAATCGCGGGTTACACGTGTGTATATATTGAGAAAAGCTCTACTAGTTTCGAACCACAGAGGGGTTCTTCCTCATGAGCAGCGTGCGCGGACGCGGCGACGTCGCGCAGCCTACTGCCAGCCAGCCTACATTATTATAAAAACATGAGAAAAAGATTTTATTTATTTAGCTAGCTAGCTTCTGCCTGCGGCTTATGCCCGCGCATGTCCTATTCCAGAGTCCCAGGTCCTATGCATGTGCCAAATTTAATCCAGATCCGTCCAGCCGTTTTGGCGTGATTGAGTACCTAACAAACATCCAAACATCGTAACTTTCGCATTTATATTATTAGTAAGAAGTAAGATATTATGTACATGTTAAGACACCAAGGTTTATGCTCTTTGGAGTTTGTGAACAGATTGACATTTAAAATAACCGATTTCATACATAATGTATATGATTATGCATATACGAGTATGGTACATACACAAAATTAGCACTTCTTACAGTTTTTGTCTGTCTGTCTGTTCCGGCTAATCCTTGGAATGCCAGGACAGATTTCGACCGGAATTTGTTTGTAGGTTGTGTGTGTTATTCCATACTATAATCTATATCTGCGCCACATTTTATTTAAATCCGGTCAGTAGTTTTTACGTGAAAGAGTGCCTAACTAACATCCTTTCATCCATCAATACTTACAAAGTATGTTATTATAATATTATATTTTTGTATACTTTCAGGATCTTTGGCGAATTAAAACCAAGCAAGTGAGAGGTGTAAGAAGCAACCTCTAAAGGAAATGTTATTTAAAAATGTATAATAAATAAATATAAGAACAATTAATGATAGGATTAGTAGTGTATGGGAACTATTTTTTATTGTATTAGGTACCTATCTATTGTATATTTCTGGCATTATTTAATTATTTTTTTAATGTAGGTACTATTTATATCTACATTTATTATCTTTAATCTATGTGTAGATATTGTAAAAAAATGTACTTACTTATAATATTAATTATAATAAAATTCTAACCGTTATTCGCTTGTTTCTTTACTTCTTTAAGGATTGATTTTTTATTAGTCAGATAAATGTTATCTCATAAATAAAGTTGTTGCTGTCACTGTCTTATACAAACATTATGACGCGACAGCATCATAATTATTCCTCAGGTAACTTTTATCTAACCATTGAAAGATCAGCACTTAATAATTTATTTATCGCAGTGTGGTATCATGCATGCATCAGCAAACCCAAGCATGATTCTGTATACCTACTGTAGTTCTAAATCCTCTATATCACTTAGAAATCGAACATAAACTTAAACTAAGGCACGTGTTGGAGACAAGCTTCGGCACGTGTTGGAGACAAGCTTCGGCACGAATGGACCGGCTCGACTATAGTGATACTACGGCCTCGCACAAAACCGGCGTGAAACAACAACAGCATTGTGTTTAGTCGTGTGAGTGAGGTTAATTACTGAACGATCAATACCTACTTCTCCTACCCCCATCCCCCGCCTCCAATCCCTAAAACTCCAAAACCGTTTATCCCCAAAAGGCCAGCAACACACCTTCTCAAAAGGCCGGCAACGCATCTGTGACGCCTCTGGTGCTGCAGTTGTCCATGGGCGGCGCTGATCGCTTACCATCAGGTGATCCGTCTGCTCGTTTGCCTCCTATTCCATAAATGACACACTGATAAGTCAAATAAAATTTTATTGTAGGTATAAGACGGCAAATGTGCAGACGGATTTACCTGATGGTAAGCAATCGGCGCCGCCCATGGACAAAACCAAATGAGTTACGAGTGCGTTGCCGGCCTTTTGGGGATAGGGGTTGCGGATAAAAGGATCGGGAAGGGATGGGGAAGGGGAGGGATTGGGCCTCCGGTAACCTCACTCACACGGCGAAACACAACGCTGCGTTGTTTCACGCCAAAAAAAATAGCAAGTAAAAATTATTGATTCTTAAAAAACTCCTATGGTATGCAGGTGTCGATGAGCGGCGCCAATTGCTTAAAAACAGGTAATCCATCAAACAGAGACACAATACTTAGTAAAGTTTCAAGACTCGAGAATCCACGGCTGGAGAAGTCATCTTTTTTATATTTGCCTGCACTTTCGAGAATTTTTTATAATTATGTACTTTTCAAAGTGACTGTACTCTGACATAGTTTGTTTCGGCATTTCTTCTTGGAGTAGTCAGATAGACTGATCTGGCTTCATTCAGACTTTTTTATTTAATGTTGACGTGTAAAAAAGCTATTGCAAAAAATAAATTCATAACTTCATTGTCAAATTGATGTATTCTGCACTGAAACGAAAACCATGAAGGAAAAATGAAAATGAAACAGCATAAATATTTATCAAAAATAATGTTTTTATTTCATTTTATAAATCTTAGGTACCGTAAACGCTTATATCTATATCGTTGTAATACTTCTTGTTGGGATTACATTACAATTATTATATCGGGACGGAATTATTCACTTATAATTAATTATTAAACTTATAATTACCCTATAAAGGATTTTATACAAAGGCTACTTAAACTTTAATTAAGTAATGATAATGGGAATGATCACAACATGTCAAAATGTCAAATTCTTTAACGTTTTTGAGAAATGTCAAATTCGTTGACGTTTTTAAGGAATGTCAAACACGATATTTTTCTACGAGTTTCTTATGTGACGTCATAACGTTTCTTTGCGTCAAATACGATATTTATTTCACTTAGGGCTGATTTTTCAATAGTCAGATAAATGTTATCTGAGGAATAAAATTCTAGCTGTCACTGTCTTATACAAACATTCTGACGCGACAGCATTATAATTATTCCCCAGATAACTTTTATGTAACCATTGAAAAATCAGCCCTTAAATTATGCAGAAAAATTCTATAAATAAGCCATACTTAATAGAATTATATCGACTAATAAGAGTGTCAATATTTTTTAACATTTTTTGACAGAGTTTATCAGCCCCATTATGTGTATAAATCTTTCTTTTTATATTTATATTAAGTATATAGATACTATTTTTAAAATAAAATTATTATATTTAAATTCGTTCACCTAACACAACATAGGTGGTGTATTTTATTTGTTCTAATAATTTGTTATTTTTTAAAAACTAAATTATATTCAGAAACACCAGTAGACAGTTTTGCGAACCCGTTTGAAATTTTATCATAATTTGTTTTGTATGTTAATTAACAATCATGAGTCTTATTGCTTAGGCTATAGAAGTGAAAATCTGTTAACTTAACAGTAAATAAGTTTTTTTATTGTCCAAAGTGTTCCCAAAATAAATTTATATCTAAAATTTATTATTTAAACCTTATAAACAGCTTTAGTGCAATTTACAGCGTAAATTTACAAATTAATATTTACAACTTTGTTTTTTTTATGTAAGTAAGTAAAAAGAAGAAAATAAAATACAATTAAAAATTAAAGAAAGCAAAAATTATTTTAAACATAATTTTATTCGAAGCGAAAATAACTTACTTGATTTTTAAAACTGTGACATGAGACTAGAACTGGTTTGGAAATAAAAAATAAAATGTATTTTTATAAGTATTAAGTATTGTGAATAAATATGTAAGTATGTGTAATAGGTATATATAAAGAAAATATCTTAAATACAAATCGGTGCTTTTTAAGTAACAGAATATAATGTGTTGGTAACTACATAATTTTATGATAATTCACCGTAGTCTCCGTCAGAAATCTGTAAAAAATAAATCGTAGGAATAAAGTAACAATTTTGCATTATTTCTTTTATTATCTCTGGTATTATCTCCGTGTCTTATGAATAGTAAGGTTATAAAAACATTGAATAGGTACCTAGTCAAAGAAGGTAATATAGGTATAATAGTAAATAACATAAAAATTACATATAGTATATTAATAAAAGCCTTGTTAACTGTGGTCGTAAAACTTATTAAAAACACATAGGTAATAAAGTAGAAAAAAAAATTAGATTCTTTACCGTAATATTGAGTACTTAATTACATTTTTGTCCCGTTTGCTTCTATGCCTAATCGATTGATTGTTAATGACGAACAATCAAAAAACATGACGATAATTAACCTACCATAAAAGTTTGTTTTAAACTATAATTATTGATTGATTGTAAATGACAATCAAAATCATCATCATAATTAAAGAAAATACGACGATGATTTTCAAATATTTTTTTTTATGATTTTTCAAAAGTCAGATAAATGTTATCTAAGGAATAAAATTGTTGCAAAATCAAAATCAGTCTAAATGCTCTGAATCATAATAAAGATTCGATATTTTGTAAGAATTACCTACTTTGAAACCTCGTTTGATTTTTCAAATAATTATATTTTGATTAATCAATGAAAATACATAGTTTGACGTCAGAAACAAACCGCCTTTCATATTAAAGCTTTATAAGAACTAATAAAGTAACGTGAATCAAAAATATTACTAAGTAAATTCATAGCGGTTAGATTGTGGAGCAGACCCTTAAATTGTATTCAACAAGTTTTACGACCATTTTTTTATACAGGTGATTTCAAGCAAAGTGCATTGGTAAGCCAATCAAAATACATGCGTAGCTTCCTGCCACTACTAAAACCACGTGCATTGATCAATCTCAATAAACTTATCTCTAGATTAAAAAGAGAAAGAATTCCGACATATTTTATTTGGAACTTAGCCAATGGCGAATGTTCTTTACTTGAACGCTAATGAAACGTTACCACGTGTAGCTTTCTGATTGGTTGTTTAAGTTGGAACCGACCAATCAGAGAGCCGAACGTCATGAACCAGCCAATCACGTTAATGTAGCAAAGCAAAACTTTCAGATATCAAAATTCTATCTCAGATTGATAAGTTACTGAGACTAGACATTAGTGTTTAAAAGCAGGACATTATTAGCAAATATACGTTTATAATATTTAGGCGAATATATAAAATAAGCTGCAGATTCCAGTTTAGTTTTAAGCTCAAGCGATAATTAATATTAACAAAAGCAAATATATGCACGTAAAAATATTCCCCACTACGTATTTTCGTCAATTTCACAATTAGTTCCATAATTATTTTATAGTTCAAGTAGGTATAATATTTATTTGTTAATAATGTCCCGCCCAATAAATTATGGGTATTGTAGCTTTAAGCTAAAAGTACCGTCACGAAAAGAATCTTATTAAACAATATTTTTTATTCATCCAGTTCAGCCAGCTCCATCTAGTTTTTTTTCACAGGCCTATTTGCGAAAAAATAATTCATTGTTTCATTGTTATAATTGTTTTTTTTTTCGCCTTTTCTTGACTGTACAATAATGAAATACATTTTAAGCTATATCTAACTACCAATTTAATATTACATGCACAGCGATATTATACAGTGAGCGTCCCAATATTTTTTATTCTAAAACACATGCCAAAAAGCATCTATTTTTATACCTACAGATTGCATAAAAAGATCTACTCATAATTTAAATTTAAATTTTATAAAAGAAAAAAAGTGTATATTATTATGTTAAAAAAATAGTCGCTTTTCGACATGAAATTAATAGACTTGTAGGTTTATAGCAGCTACATTCTTACAACATATTACCAATTATGTTTTAAACTTATTTGTAGTATTTGGGTACTTTCAATAGTCAAAAATATTATTTTTCCATTTTCGACGTTATATGCAAATTATGCAATAAACATTCAACAATGTTTTAATCACTTCATATTATGTTATGTAACAAAATCTTTTCTCTGTCCCTATATTCCTATGTATAGGTACTATATACAAACTTTAAAAAAATGCAACGGATGTTATTGCGGTATTTTATAGATAGAGTGATTGAAGAGGAAGTTTTATATGTATGATAACATCCATTAAATAGTGGAGAAATGTAATATCAACTTTACACCTGTGCAAAGCCGAGGCGGTAATAGATAATAATCAATAATCAAACCTACATTAATTGTTTTTTTAATTCTTTTAAAGAAATACAGATAACGAATATAAACAAAAAAAAATATAATGTCACTTGTACAAAACTTATAAAAAAATTGCCAAATTGTAAATTCAAAATAAGAATTAGATTTGACTAGTTGTAAGTACCCAACTTAAATAATATTAATTTGTATTCCACTTAATAATAAACCACTGGCGTTAATAAATAAGTACTGGCACTTTAATGTATACCTAATTGTAAGCAAATTAAAAGCTAAGGTCCCCTTCAAAATATCTCACAATAATTTTATTTTTAATATTCTTATGTTAATTTATAATTTTGTTCTAAAGCTAAAGCGTTTCTGAGTAATTTTGAGCAATCAAATTTCTAATATTTTATTAACAACAAAATCTTCTGATTACACTTACTGACAGCTTATATTATTGATATGGTAACACCATATGCAAAAATTCGAGAATAATTTAACAGATGGCGCTAGAAAATTTCGACAGTAACGCAAAATGCGCAAGAAAAGTTTGATTTCGAATTAGCACATGACATTTGCGTACGAAAATTCTCAAGGTTTAGGCAGGAGCAAGCCCTCATTTTAGCTTAAACATGTCCTATCTGGTCCAATACCTATTAGAAAACAGTATATCCTATTCTAAAAAAAATCGTCATTTTGCAGCATGTAGGTAGTGAGAACTACCGTTTTATTTAATTTTTTGCTCAACAGATGGCGCTTGTTTAAATTTTTGTTCAATGTCAAAAATTTTAATCTCGAATGTCTGCATTCTGCGAAAGCTAATTTCTACTTTATAAGCTACGTACGTGAGTAAGTTATCTCACTCACAATGACCCTCATTAGTACCAATTGTCATAATATAACCTTTTTGCTACCCACTACACTACTGGTGTCTGCCTCTATAGTCTACGTAAACTTTTACTACTTCACCTTCGTATTTACGCTGTGACGGCATGAAGTAAAAGTCAGGATGCGCAGAAAGCCCGGGTTCCGGGCCTCGGGCACCGCGTGGCAGCGAGTACGTCGCACGCTCGCGGTCGGGGCGACCTGTGTATCTGTTAAGAAAATATTCATCATTAAAACCACCCAAAATTCAGCTGAATACAGAACAAGAACAGAGGAGAAAGTTGAACGTATAGGTAATTTGTAATAATATAAGTTTAAAATCGCCAATCCGCCTTGACCAAGGGTGGTAATTAACACTCGCTCCTAGTCTGAGAGAAAAAAGGGCATTTATTTTTGGCGATAATCTTAGGCTGATGAACAAGACTGCTAAATAATTTTCACTCCCTTATGCAATGAAATTATAAGTAAAATGCTGTAGATAGGTTACATAAACAACATTGCATTTTCAAAAATGGCACACTGATGCACATACGAACAATTCGTATGATTAGACGTCAAAGTGGGATGGCATGATTCAAAAATGAGTGAAAAAGAGACAAATATGAAAAAGTGTGGCTAGTTAGCCACATTTTGATGTATCACTTGCTGAGCACTTATGACCTAACCTTTTTACTTATAATATCATTGCCCTTAAGAATGATTTCGCCAACATTTTGCTAAAGTCTCGCAGTTAGCCAGGGTTATTATGATACAAGGGCAATAAGGTACCGTGGCTTCGGCCTGGAGCAGGAGAAGAAACGGAATGGTTTTTAGTCAGAAAGAGTCTGATTCTTCCTCTCATCTGACACTGGGCTCATATTTTGTCGATTTGATTAAACTAGCCTTAAAAAAAGAGAACCTCGCAGTTGAATCACCATTAGTCTTTCTTGCACTTTGACGTCACAGTGTGATTTTTATGGAACGAATTTTATGTCTGGGGCCTGGGGCCCAAGTCTGCTATTTTGAAAATATTGTCATTCCAACACGATTCCATTGCCATTTTGCTTATTTAAAGTTCGTTAACTGTTAATTCATAATCACTGATCATTGGACGGTCAGCGGTGACGTAATCGTAATACAATTGCGGTATGAGATGCTTTTTAACGAATTATCAACAATAACTGCACAATAATTATTCTAGTCGTAAATCACTGATTAAAGGCTGCGTCCATTTTTTTTTTTATTTACCGCATTATGTCAAAAGTCAATATGTTATTTTGAACGAGATTCCCATTATAAAAAATTATTTCAATGAAGTGTCACTTGTTGATCATTGGTAAGTCATAATGACGCCATTATGTTATCAAAATCCACAATTTTGAAATCAATGATCCATTAGTGTCAAAAACACTATTGTAATAGCAGACTTGAGGCCCTGTTAAGTAGCTAAAGAAAGGCTAACTTCTTTCCTTAGACCACGCGAGTGGATCCGCGAGCAGATACATTACCTAACTTGTAAAACTTGTTTATTATTCACTGACAAATTAGACATATACTTAAATAAGATGTAAAATATTGAATAATGTGATGTTTATGTTTAGAAATATTGATTTGCATTTTTTATTACTTGATTATTTAATTCCAATCGATTCTTTTCGTCATTAATCATTAAGTAGTATTAATATTTTTTTGAATAATTTGAATTAAATTATATCTTCAAAGTACATTAGCCCATCCAATGACGATAATTATAACCTTTATGGTTAGATCCTTTATGAGCCTATCCCTGCTTCGCTTGAATTTCTAACTACCTCAGCATCAATATTTTTTTTACCGAACCGTAATAGCGTCCTTAGGATTGATATTTCCCGATTGTCCCCTCTACTTAGGTACCTAGTCTTTTATGAAAACTTTCTCCTGATCTAAGCAAACACAGTAGTAATAAAGAATTATCGAAATTACTATAAACATGTGGTTCACGAGCGATACCATGTTTAAGGATTTTTTTTTTTGTATTTAAGATTAACTATAAACGATGAATGCAATATGCGTGTCAATCGATAATCATTGCGAACTCCCATGATGAAAAAAGATAATGATAAAAGTAATTACTGATTACATACATATTTCATCAAGAACACTTAGGAACCACTTGTTTTGAAATCCCACATGAAAAAAATTGACACTAAAAAAATTGAAAAAATTGAATCAAAAATTTCTAATAAAATTTTAAAAATACAACTTGAATACTGATGTCTCAAGTTGCTTGTCGACCGTGACAGGACTCGAACCTGCAATCTTCGGATCCGAAGTCCGACGCCTTATCCATTAGGCCACACGGTCTTATGAGGGAGGTGACGAAATTATAAACTGTATGCCTTTGAACGAAACACCCCTTCTAAATTCACCCCTCGTTTATGAAGTAAGAACATATTTTAACTTTTAGTACCACGAGAATAGGGTTGATTATTGTATGGTCGCAAAGGTGATAATTTATCAACATTTGCTTCACAATGACTCATCATAACAGAAAGTCATGTTTAGCCTTTTTTTAGTTTTCTAATAATATTTTGAACCGTATTTTAAGACCAGTAAATACCATAATCCTAAAATAACTTCTTAAATGCGTAATTCTTCCTTAATAATCGTTACATATTACCAATTTTATTTAGATGTATATATTAGACAAAGTTTGAAAATGAATTAAGACAAAAAACAAGACTTACCCATACTGTCCGCCTCCTCTAGGCCTTTGTAAAGACCTTGTCTCATGATAGTACTGGGCCGCACTATTCTGATGTTTCGGGGTCATCCGCCCATTGGTCCCATGTCCATTCATCCCATGTCTAACTTCGTGGCTGACCCCATGTTGGCCGTTGACCCCATGTTGGCCGTTGACCCCATGTTGCCCATTGACCCCATGCTGCCCATTGACTCCGTTTGATTTGGGTTTTGATGGGTGTTTGTTGGCACTGCCGGGTCTGGGTGGGGGTGGGTCTGTAGGCCTTAATGGGGTCTGTCTGTGGCGTAAAGGTGCCGTCGATGTGGTGCTGTTATATTTGTCATCGTTTTCGAAAGGTTCGAAAGCGTAGTTCGTGTTCGCCGAGGAGTAATCCTTCCATGCTGAACTTGGTATTAGTTGGTCCTGAAAGGGTCAACATTTTATTTGAAGATTTTTATATTAGATGTTTTTTTAACCGACTTCCAAAAAGGAGGAGGTTCTCAATTCGACCGTATATATGCTTTATTTATTATGTTTGTTCGCCGATATCTCCGTTATTTATGAACCGATTTTGATAATTCTTTTTTTTCTATATGATTGGTCGGCTAATGAGCAGGCGGACTACATGATGGTAAGAAATCGGTGCCACCCATGGAAACACGCGACACCGGAGCTACGTGAGCGTATTTTAGGGTTGTGAGGTTTTGCAGATTTAGGAATTGATTTTGTGATTTTTCCCTCAACAGAGACAGAGGGGAAGAAAAAGATTGTCACAATTTGGGTTGCGACTACATCAAAAACTCTAAAATGCTACTGCCCGTTAGGTACACTTTCATGATGTATAATCCCTGTAACGAGACCCAAAGAAAGAATAACAAAAAAACATCTTGAGAATGCACGATGCTCTAAATCTAGACTGGCATAATGATATTTTTCGAAATCATTGAAGAAAATATCGCGAGAAAAACTGGACTTTTAAATATATTCTAAATCTAAGTTCGAAATGGCCAATCCGCCTTGAGCTAGCATTGTGATTAATGCTCAAAGCTTCTCCCTGTGAAGAGGCCTTACCTAAGCAGTGGGCACTTATGGGCTGAAGATGGGATGTGATGTGACAAAACATACCTTAGTCTGTATAGTGGCACTCCGGCTCCTATAGACAGTGCATGCAGCCTGCAGTAATGCAACAAGTATCAATGCAGCAACGCATCCAACTACGACGTACAACTTGGTTTCTGCTAGACCGAAAAACATGCGTGCATTGCCTGTTGTCTCCTCCGTCGGACGTTCTGATAGTACTGTAAGGAGATTTGTTAGTTATTGTTTGGTTTGTAGGGTTGATTTTGCAGTGGTTTGGCGATGGTTGTTTGGACTTTTTGTGTGTGATATATGGGGGTCTAGGAGGAACTAGAAAATAAGCAGTGCCGGCGTTAGTTTAGGGGGCTTGTTGGGGCGATGGCCCAGAGCGAAAAATTCTGGGGTGTGCCCAGGTGTCAAGTTGGTGTCTCTTGCCTCTCCTGGTGCAAACCCTAAGAATTGTGCTCTACGCTCTGTGCATGTGCATATTTTTTATTGAGATATTTTTTTTTTATTTTACTGTTGATCAGCAAAAATCTAACGCTTGATATTGCTTCCCTCAAGTGGGTGTCACAATATTTTCGCCAGGGGTGTCAGTGGCCCTTACGCCGGCACTGAAAATAAGATACATTGGGCCGAAATAACGTTAAATGCGGTGAATAGAATTTGAGAGGTGAATTGTGGTGGTTGGCGAATTTTCCTAGTATTTATTCATCCCTCGAAAAATTCGATTTAAACCATTTTATAACTATATTGGAAAAATGGTCAGTCAAATTATCACATAGTACATACAAATACAATTAAAAACTACAATCCAAAGTTCATTCATACGGTTCAAATTGATGTAATTACTAATTAAATAATTGTGTCTTTGGACCTTACTCAGTCCCTCCGTAGATAAGCTTTCCCATGGTTTTCTTCATACGATTTTTTTTCATATGAACTTAAAAATATAATACTAATTATTATAAAAAAAATTGCCTGTTATGTTCCCAAAAGAGTGAACCTTAGGAAACAGATCTGTTCCATTGTGATACCACGGCCTTACAGAAAATTTGGACAACAAACTATTGTTGTCCAAATTTTCTGTCGTGTCGAAATCGTGTGTCGCCGTAAAAGTGGGGTTACCCGAGGCCCAACCAGAAAAAGGACGGCAACATATTTGCAACTCCTTTTCTATTGTGTCTATGGATGGCGCCGATTGCTTACCATCATATAAATATATAAATAAAAAATTAAAATATATGGATTGAGATAAGAAATGTTTGACATGTATAAAAATATACATTGCGTGTACACCTGTAAAGTTTATATTGCAAACTTTAAATAAATAAATCTGAAAGTTTCTTAAGGAACTTTACTCACTGTTCCATAAAGACTTATACGCGGGTAAAGCCGTGGATAAAAGTCATAGTAATATAGATAAAAGTACTCACAGCTCTGTGGCTCAAACACCAGAAACTCGGGATCTACATTAAGGTTTCCAACACGTCCCTGTGCGAGTGTATCCCTCACGGCCCTCTCCCAGCGCTCAGCGCCGTCCTCCGTACTATTGTCAGAGGAAAGGGCGCGACCAGTGGAGCCCTCTATCGAGTTGGACTCAATCGATTTCAAAGTCAGTTCTGCTATTATCGCTTTTGTTTCGTTTCTGTAAATTAATTAGAGTTACAAGTTACTATGTTAAGTGCGAGAGAGTCAATTTATTATTAAAATAATCATGGTATGTGACTTTTGGTACTGTTACTCACGATGCGCTCACTGAAGGTGTGTTTGTGAAAAATAATGTAATGGATTTCGAAATGAAATAGGAGGAAAAACAAAAAAAAACCACTAGTGGACAGACTCCCATAGTAATGCACCATTGATGTAGTGGCTGGGCAACTTTCTGCTCTGCAACGTGTCTCGGGTTCGATTCCCGCTCAGAACAACACTTTCTGTGATCACAAATTGTTGTTTCGGGTCTGGATGATTTGTGTATATTTGTAAACGAACCCACGACACACAAAGAGTTGTTTCGTGCGGGAATCGAACCACCGACACCTTGCGCGGCATCCGGTTGCCCAGCCGCCGCGCCAACCGTGCAGTCTTTGGAACATTAGTGTTTAAATATCGGTCACTCTTCTTCTTATAAAAATATCTTTTAAATAGAGATAAACATAATTTTATTTTTGTCATACTCACTGCATGAACCCGTTGACGAGAAGACCGTGGTATCCCTTATTCTTCCCCAGTTCAGCGGCGAGACTGTCTGCCACCGTCTTACTGAGCTCATCAAACTCCTTGCTCCCAGCCGCCGGGGGCTTGTAACTGTCCGCTAGGCCTGTGATCCGGATGAGCATCGTGTACGACGCTTGCCCGGGTATTACCGGTTCCGTTGTTACCTCTTCCTCTATTGGTTCTGTAGGGGGGGGGGGATAGGTTAGTTTTAAAACAATGAATTTATATTTGTAAATCTATACTAATATTATAAAGAGGTAAAATATGTAAGTTTAAAAGTTTGTATGTAGGGGGTAATCATTGGAACCGCTGGTCGGATTGCCAAAATTCTTTCACTTATTGATAGGTACAATGATCCCGAGTGCTATAGGCTATAAAACATCACGCTACAATCAAATGGAGCCGAGCAGCGAGTGAAAGCGCGGGAGTAGCCAGTAGGCCACAAAACAGTACTTTTACAGTTCAAACTATATGTAAAAAAAACTAGATGAAGTCGGCATTTCCTATATGACTACTCTGAGAAGAAATGCCAAAACAAACTCAGAGATATGTATGTTGTTTGTTATTTTGACGTGACAACAACGTCTAATACTTCGCGCAACATGCACGAAAAAGATGACGTCATTGTCGCGTTCCGCAAGCGAGACCGCAATACAAATGAGAGAGATGCATGATCAGCTCGAGCGATCGACTCAGTTCGGTTCGTAATACGGAAATGTTTTGTTAGTGAATTAAATTCTTAAAAGACTAGCTTAAAGTCAAAATTGACTACTTAGATGTTTTGAGTTACCTTGGGCGGCGCTGATTGCTTACCATCAGGTAATCCGTCTGCTCGTTTGCGGACCCAATATATAAAAGAAAGCAGTTGGTACGCTCTTCAGCTTACATTAGCTGCTTCCACTGAATAAAATGATAATATTAGTGTGGGAGAGCCATGCTTCGGCACGAAGGGATCGGCTCGACCGGAGTGATACGAGGTTGTGTTTCGCCGTGTGAGTGAGGTTACCCCAAAATCTCCAAATCCCCAATCCCTAAAAGGTTGACAACGCACTCGTAACTGCTCGTTATTGCAGGTGTCTATGGGCGGCGTTGATTGCTTACCATCAGGTAATCCGTCTGCTCGTTTGCCGACTTATAACATAAAAAAATATAGGTATATACTAACCAGGCCCACACGGCTTGATGCAGACCCTCTCGTCAGTGACGATGGGAGTCTGCATATGTTTGCTGGTCCGCTTGTTGGCCGGGTCGAAGCCACCCCCATGGGGGATGAACATCATGTACAAGCACTGCGTGTCTGTGAAGCCTAGGTCCTGGAAACATATAATACGTAATATATTAGTGAACATTCTTAATTATTATTGTTAAAGTCAAAGTCTAAGTCAAATTCGCAATGAGGCACCGCGACCTCGGCCTAGAGCAGGAGAAGGCACAGGGGGGTTTTTAGTCAGTAAGAGTCCCTTCACTCCCAGAAGCCATTTGAAGATTTTCCCCTCACAAAAAAAAGGTCAATTTTTTTTTAATGTTTCCCCACACTTGTGTTTTTTCCTGTGTCGTTGGTGTGCGATTACAAACATACAATTTTCACATACACATCACACCCAGACCCGGAACAATAATTTGTGGATCACATAAAGAGTTGTTTCGTGCGGGAATCGAACCCGCGACACGTTGCACCGCATCCAGTTGTCCAGCGACCGCGCTAACCGTGCAGTCAGACTACAACATGCACTTTTGAAAGTCAAACAAAGGGTTTAGGATCAAAAAATTCAGGGTCAGTTCTATTTGTTCGTGAATTCACGGACATACTGATTTAATTCTTCATTAAAGGTTTGGGTGGCTTACTAACGCGCTCCTAACATACATGTTAAGTATATGTACAACACGTATACATACACTAGCTGTGCCCCGCGCTTTCTCTTGTGTAGTTTATAGCCTAAGTTTACAGGGGAAAGTGTAGCTTTACAACAGTGAAAGAATTTTTCAATTCGGTCAAGTAGTTTTAGAGTCTACTTCATCATCATCAGCCTATAAGTGCCCACAGCTGAGCAAAGACCTCTTCTCACACGGAGAATGTTTGAGCATTAACCACCACGCTTGCTCAATGCGGGTTGGCGATTTCAAACTTATAATTAGAAATTATAAGTCTTGGTTTCCTAACGATGTTTACCTTCGCCGTATGTCAGTGGTGTCTAAATAATCATAGAAAGTACATATAACTCGGAAAAAGTCACATTGGTACTTGCCAGGTTTCGAACCCACACCTTCATGCATGAGAAGCGGGCGCCTTAACCTCCGGGCCACCACGACCATAGAGTTAGAGTATTTAATGCAAATAAACAATCGAATCTTGTTTCTTAATAATATTCATCTGTAGGTACTTATAATATTATAAAGCTGTAGATTATGTTTGTTTGTTTGAACTCGCTAATATCCGGAACTACTGGTTCGAATTGAATAATTCTTTTTGTATTTTTAGTCCAATTATCGAGGAAGGCTTTTTTTATAGGCTATAAAACATCACGATACGATATGTATATGCCGAGCAGCGGTCGAAACCGCGGGACAGTAAGCTAGTATTTATCATATATGTATTTAGATAAGCATTCTGTACCTCGATCGGGTGTTCTATAACTTCGATGTCAGTTAGCGAACCGCTAAAGGGCCAAAGGGGTTGATGTTTCCTCAATATTTCCCTTATAATTTACTAAAATATTCTTACATTTTTTTATCTTTTCCTAACTAACTTTTGACTTGACAAAATATATTATGTGATTAGTATTGGTCTAGCCTTTCACTAATGATGTCATGAGTAGTTACTACCAAATGAAATTAGAATTAATTTTTATTATTACCTTCATAAAGTGGATAGAAAGAAACATTAAATAAAAATATATATATCTATTTTTGTGTTGTTATTGGAGACTTATTTCGTTGCCTCCAATACATGCGTCGGTGGTGTAATGGTCAGCATAGTTGCCTTCCAAGCAGTTGATCCGGGTTCGATTCCCGGCCGACGCATATGTTTTTGCTGTATTTTCTTAGCGTTTTATCATCATTATAATCTTTTAGTAAATTAATTACTTGAAAAATTACATTTGTTTGACGATTTATATTTTGAATTATTATTTTACAGAACAAAAACATCCGAAATATCTTGCTATTTATTAAAAGTTAAGTAAACTTGACACACCCGCTACACCAAAGGAGTTACAATTAAGTACTTATGTCATTTGATGATTTAAAAAATAATCATACAAACTTTCCTATTTATAATATAGTAGTGTATGTGTGGGAGAACCATGCTGGTTGGCTACACCGGAGTGATACTACGGCCTCACAGAAAACCGGCGTGAAAAAACCACAGCGTTGTGTTTAAAAAAATAATAGAAAAAGTACCTTCTGATCACCAGTATTCCGTTTTCTGACGAAGCTCAAAGTGGTGATACCGTCGACCATGCTGCCAGCTTCCTGGGACAGATCCTGTCGCGGGTCGACGCGGGGCGCGGAATATCCAGACACCCAGGTGTCCATTATGAACGGCCGGCCAGACCGGGAGTCCACCCAGCCTATTATAGCGTCCGATTGAGACTGGAAGAGATAAATAAAAATTAAACGTTGAAAATGGCCTAAAACAATAGATAAATTCTTATTTATTACCATGCTAAGGTTATTATTGCCATTGCAAAAAATATAAAAACAAATGGCAAATCAATGACGACGGACATGAAACGACAAGGACGGAAATATATCTTGTTCTCTTTCTAATCTTAATTATTGCCGCCTACAGAACAAATCAAAATGAAAACAAATGACGTCAGACGCAAAATGACCGAAATACAACTTATATCGTGTACTCTTTCTAAATCATTATATTTTTCTTCGTTGTAATATTTTTATTCAGATTGTTTAGTCCATTAACATTGATATTAAATAAATTCTGATGAACGGATGACGGATGTAGAAAGGTTTCATTAGATATTTCTCTTTAGGCCCCGTCGCTGATAAGGATTTGCCACCGCGAATGTTTTTCAGTAAATTGAGTGCAATGAAGATATAGGAGAAAGAATGCGGTGACGTGACAATACAGGGACTTATATTTACAGCGTGACTTAGGTCAGCCGACCTGTACATTACTATGGGAATCTTTTTTTTATGTAATAAGTCGGCAAACGAGCACACGGATTACCTAATGGTAAACAATCAGCGCCGCCCATGGACACCCGCAGCGGAGGAGTTACGAATGCGTTGCCGACCTTTTAGGGACTAGGGATTAGGGATTTGGAGATTAAGGGATTGAGGAGGGATTGGGGGAGGGGAAGGATTGGGCCTCCGGTAACCTCACTCACACGGCGAAACACAACACTGTGGTTGTTTTACGCCGGTTTTCTGTGAGGCCGTGGTATCACTCCGGTCGAGCCGACCCATTCGTGCCGAAGCATGGCTCTCCCACACTTAAAAATATATTAAGAATCTACTCAATACTGACTTTTTAGGTTTTTTTTCTGCTAATTGCATTTCTAAATCCATTACATTGTCCCTCACGGACAGTTTCAGTCAGCGCATCGTGAGTGACAGATATAAAAGTCGCATCATCGGCAGGCCTAAATAATTTACACGAATCATAGAAGATGTCAAAATTCTTTGAGTTTTTTACAGAGGTCATTAAATTCCGAACATGGTCGACGATGTTATGAAAATAATATAATTATGAATATTAACTTACCATCTTCTTATTATCACTGAACCCAATTCCGGTCCAATGTTTGGTCTGTTTCGTGGATATGGTGAACCGGACGGAGTCCTTGCCACGTTTCTGCCCCAGGTACTCCCAGGTGGCGACGTAGTCACACGTCTTGTTGGCTGGGTCGCAGTCTGCTGGGAGACGCCATTGTCCCCCACACTTGTCAGGTAGTGGTAGTATACCGCCTGATATCGATACTTTGGTTTCCTCTGAAAATTGGTTTGGTTTAATTAATACAATAGAAGTTAAATTAACCAGTTAGTGATCTTACAGTTTACTTTCGGTTGATCTTTTGCAAATGTATGGATATGTTTTAACTGAGTATTGAATACTGTTTCGGTTCCGGTATCGGTTCCAATATCGGTTCCAGTTGGGGTTAATCACTGGTCCCTATCAAATAGTTAACAGTTTATTGTCCAAAAAAATAGTTTAACGTTATTTAATTACTCTATTTTAATCCGTCAAATTTCAAGCAGACGTCACGTCCTTCGTGACGTTATCGCCGCGTTGCATTATCATCATTCAACATAACTTAACATGCAAGTAAATACTATGAGTTTGAATTACATAATCTTAAGTTGCAGCAATATTTCGAGTTCAAATAAAATAATGTACCTATGTTTATTAATATAAAAATATTGATTCACCATATATTTGAAGGTTATTTTGTGCTTATGTTAGAAGTTTATGGCATAAGTCGGCAAACGAGCAGACGGATTACCTGATGATAAGCATTCGGCACCACCCATGGAAACTCGCAATACCAAAGGAATTACCACAAGTGCGTTGCCGGACTCTTGTGGGTTACTCAGGATTAAAGGATAAGGAATTTGAGGATTAAGGATGGGTAGTTAAAACTTTAGTCTCACCGAAGAAATTGATAGAGGCAACACCCCTCTGCGATCCATGTCCATGGTATTTCAACTCGTCGGGACGGTAGAAGTCTCCCACAGAAGCAGTGCCACGCTCCAGCCCGGATGGAGGAGAGTGCACATACTTGCCCGGCTCCTGACCTCGCGCCCAGATCACGTGCATGTTGTCGTCAACTATCGAATGGTCGGTCGGCTCTTTCGCCTGGAAAATTAAGATGGTATTTATGACAATGACTGCACGGTTCGCGGATTGACTGTGCAACTGGCTGCCGTTTGTGTGATCTACAAATTGTTGTTCCGGGTCTGGGTGTGATGTGTATATGAAATTGTATGTTTGTAAACACACCCGGGAGTAAATTCTAGGGTGGGGACAACGTTTTCTTTTTTTACTACTTGTCGTTTGTTGACTGTCCAACCTGCATGGCAACTTCATGACTCAGAATTTTTGCTAAACATCTTAAGAAAAACTCTACTAGTAGTTTTTAAGTCATACCAGGACTTGTACTTGTGTTAAATACCAAGTTTGAGCCCCGTTTCATTTAATTACCTTAATCTTCTTCCGGAACATGATGGTGGTGACTCCGTTTTCCTCGTAGCCGGACGCGGCTGTGATGTCATCGTGTCCACCCCAGAATGTGTCCACTCGGGGCGTTGACCTGCAAAACCAAATCAACATTGATTTAAATTTGTAACATGCCAGTACTTTAGCGTGACGAATTGAAAATAACATCAACATTGATTAGAAAATAACATCAACATAGACTATTTGTATTATTGTAAAGAGTTGATGAATTAAAAATAATTGATTTTATAATATTTTTAAAAAACATTTTTTATCATGTAGGTACCTATCTATTTCTTACTAAATTAAGTCTTGGGCATGTATGTATTTTATACAGATTTTATCAAGTTCAGTAGCTCGATCTTGATCGTTTACTTTATGAAATTTAATACTCATATTTAAATATAAATAAAAAATAGTTTGATTTATAAAAACAGGAATTACTAAAAAATTTTTTTTTTTTAATTGAACAATTGCGATACGCGTCTTCAGTTTGTAATTAAATAGATAATAATGTAGTTGTAAATCTCACCTGTCTCTAGTATAATAGTCGAGTACTCTATGGTAGTTGCCCTTAGCGGTTCCTATAACGATGTCGGTGCAGTCCATTGGGTTGAAGTCGAACTTCGGTACGTATTCGTGATTGGGGAAGTAACCTAAAATATTTACGTGTTAATTTTTTGTGTAAAAATGTGAGGAAAACATGGAAAGTAGGTTAACACTTTTGGTATAAGTCCACCAAGAGACATTTTTTTTTATTTAAAAATGTTAGGCACAAGTTTATTCTTACATAAAATATTATGTAACTACTACCTACTGTAGGAGAAAATAAAATAACTCAAATGAAGATTCTTGCTTAGAAGATAATCTAAATGGAATTGGAGTAACTTTTGTTTTAGGTCATTTCAGGCAACTCTAAATCATGAATGGAAGACTAATTGACAGGAAGAAAACACAGCTAGCTAACAAAGAATATTCTAAACCTTTTAGTATTAAAATCACATTTATTAGAATAACCAAAGAAACTGTACAAAATCCACATGAAGGCCACCTTTACAGGATACATATTATTTCATATTTAATAATAATCCCAGTTAATACCTCACACACAGAAACAAGAAATTAAAAACGGTTAAAATAAAGACAGAAAGGTTAATTAAGGTTCACTGAAAAAATGACAATAGAATAAAGTAGATATATAACGGTAGGACTTTTCCAAATAATGCGCTCTGAAGTTTGAAAGTATCAAATAGCTTCTGTCACTCATTCCGAACGAGTAATTTGGTTAGATGCGTAGACGAGTTATGTCGAAAATCACCAATCACAATGCTGGAAATCAACATCCATTAAGGTGATTGGAGAAGAGATATGGATCTAGGAATGTGATTGGTGAATCGCGGTGCAGCAAGTCTTCAATCTGCTCTGCATCACCTCATTAGGGAAGAAGTCAATGAGTTCACTCATACTTCAGAACGGTAAAGGTATTTAGAAAGCACTAAAAGAAGAATTAATAAAAAGAAATGTTGTATGTATCTAATATTGAGGAATAATTTTAAAGAAGTATTGTCGAAATCTAGAAGAAAGAAGTTTAATTGTCAGTCTAAATAATCTAAATATCAGTAGATATGATTATTACAGACAGAATTGGGTAGTTTCCTAGGTCAAAAATAAATTATTTAGACGTTTCAATACAATAAAATATTGAAAAATAACTATACTTTTATTCATCGATCGATCGATACACTAATTTTTAGACTTTTTTGAGCTAATTATTACGAAATAAGTAAGCTATTTGACACAAAAAAGTTATTACGTCATAGCTCAGTTTTTCATACAAATTTCATAGAAAAGTATCATTTTTGAAGTTTGGATAAAAGAATTGAATTTGACTTGTTGGAAACTACCGTATTTTTATATGACCTTTTTTGTACACAAAACGTATCTTTCCGCTGGACTTACTCCGGTCAGTAGGTACGGTAGGACTTACTCAGGGCCTGTTAATGATTACTTAAACTCAGTACTTAGTTCAATTGTTACCAAAAGAATATCAGCAACTACTAAGACGCAATTTAATCCCTAAATAAGGCAGAATGAACTACACTTTCGTAGGTCTCATATGGATCGAAATCCTGTTTCTAGTATCTACCGATAAGAGAATATTTAGACTGGCCGTTTGTAATATCAGTGTCGAAGTAATTTAAGGTTAAAAGGAAAGGGGATAAGGATCAGTATCGTGGTAGCACCCAAAGCCTCGCGAAGCTTAGAAAATAAGCAAATAATTTACGTATGTAACGAAATATTATGAAAGAACATGCAAGAATTTTAGATGAAGATAAAGTTAAGATATTTCATAAATAATAGATAAGTAGATATAATTAAAATGGCAAGACGAGAAAGAGTTTAAATTGGAGACTATTTAATAAAATATAATATATAATATAGTTTCATTCAATAGATAAAATGGATCTAACGATCTAAAGAAGCAAATTATAAAAAAAAATCTAGAAATAACCGATTAAAATCAAATACATTATAATTTAATTTTATTACACATAGCTTTATTTCATGAAACTGTTCGAGATGATTCGACTAGTTTCAAGTCAAAATTGGGCCTTATAATTAGTATGGGTAGCATGATTGCTAAACTAACAGCAAACTGGCCATTGGTCTCAGGACATGGGGCGTTGGTAACCATTACAAAGCTACAAATTGTAAGTTGTTTTATCTCCCATTTTTAGATTATAATATATTCAAAATATAGTCTCCAATTTACACGTTGAATTTTTTTTCATTCATCAACCTTCCAATCCGTCTATTCACATTCATAACACTTAAACAAAGCATATTATAATATAATGTTATGTTAACACATAATGTTAAGTTACATCATTAATGACAAGTGCTGCAAATTGCTATACAAATATATCTATTTTATATTTACATACACTTTCATTGGTATAAAAAAATAGCTTAAAATTACCCTAAATTTTATAAAATACCTTTATAATGAAAAACTTGTGTGTCGCATACATATTACGTTCCACATTCCAATGCATTTGGCACATAACAATTATTTAGAAAGCTTGGAACAGGGTTTATTATATTATACTAGCCAAGAGCAGGAGAAGGAACGAGGTTTTAAGTCTGCAACACACGGTTTCTGAAAGGCTTGTCAACGCTAAAATTAAGTAATCTCCTGTTAAATCTCTTGTCAAGTCATCTGATTGGTTGTTGATAATTCAGTCAACCAATCAGATGACTTGACAAAAGATTAAATTGATTTTAACATTGATCGGACTTTCGGAAACCGGGTGTAAGTCTGAGATTTCACCTCTCGGGCACAACAATGCATTTGATGAATTTCCCCTTCAGCAAAAAAGTACCAAATGAAGCCAATATTTGTTCAAACTTTCAATCGTGGTAATTTTTTTTTGGGTTTTATGATATAAACAATATAAAAAATAGCTATACCAATGAAAGTGTAATACAGTGCAAAGCTTGTGGCGTTACCTGCGTCATCTTTAAGTCCCTTCACTAGCAATGTCTCAGGTTCCAATGCTGCGGTAGGTTCGGGTTCGGGATGGGGTTGAGGATTTGGTTCCGGTTCCGATTTCGGTTCCGGTATAGATGTAGGTTCGGGGTCTGATTTAGGTTCAGGTTCTGATTTCGGCTCTGGTTTGGATTTAGGTTCAGGTTCGGATTTAGGTTCAGGTTCTGACTTAGGTTCGGGTTCGGATTTAGGTTCAGGTTCTGACTTAGGTTCGGGTTCTGCCTTAGGTTCGGGTTCTGCCTTAGGTTCGGGTTCTGCCTTAGGTTCAGGTTCAGCCTTAGGTTCGGGTTCTGACTTAGGTTCGGGTTCTGATTTAGGCTCTGGTTCGGATTTGGGTTCAGGTTCGGATTTAGGTTCAGGTTCGGATTTAGGTTCAGGTTCTGATTTAGGTTCAGGTTCAGATTTAGGCTCTGGTTCAGTTTTAGGTTCTGGTTCAGTTTTAGGTTCAGGCTCGGTGTTAGGTTCTGGAGTCGGTTCCGAATTCGGTTCTGGCTTGGCACTAGGTTCTGGGAGAGATCTAGGTTCAGGTTGAGAACTGGGTTCTGGGAGTGACTTCGGTTCTGCGGTAGGTTCAGGTGAAGGCTCTGGTTCAGTAGAGGGTTCGGGAGTAGGTTCAGGATTAGATGCCGGTTCAGGACTAGGTTCAGGTTGTGTAGTTGGTTCAGGTTCCGATTTAGGCTCAGGTACAGTAGTAGGTTCTGGTACCGTCGTCGGTTCAGGGCTGGGTTCAGGTGTAGTTGTAAGTTCAGCTAACTGTTTAGACTTTGGTTTGAACTTTGGTTTGGTTTTTGGTTTTGGTTTAACACTGGGTACGGGACTCGATTGTGTTTGGGATGTAGGTTCGGGAGAAGCTGTCGGCTCAGTGGATACAACGGAGTGTTTATGGGTAACATGAGTGGTCGTTGTATCCGAATCTGTAAAATAAATTGATCATGCAGCATCATATATACAAAACAGCTTGTTTCATCGCCACCTGATATAGAAGAGTTGAGTTTTAATTAGGCGTATCAACAAAATTATGGCAGAAAGTCAAATGCAAGCCCGTCAATTCATATTTAAAGAGAATAATAAGGCAGTATATTTTAATAATGTATCTATTTGCATTGTTTTAGCTATTCATATCGCGTAAGAGACATAGATATTTTAGTGCTGTTACTGAAAATTGTATCTTACATGATTGTAAAGTGCATAAATAGATTTGAGCACAGTGATAGATATTTTTTAGGCGTTATGGAAAATCATGTACATTGCACATTTAGTAGCAGTGACATATTATAAACATTTCTGATTGAAAATCTATTTATTAACAATAAAATCACATCGGCATCTATTGAAGAGATGGGATGTGTTTATGTGAATAATATTTATTTGTGTCCAAATCAGGCAGCGTTGAAACATTCAATACAATATTGCTGTTAGTTAGTATGTTGGCGTTGCTGTAACTATGATGTAAGTATAGTTTGTATGTGCTCTGTGGCGTGTCGCGTGGCTGTGGTGGCTCTGTCAGCGTCGTGTTAAGTGTGGTGCAGAGGTTAGCAGTGCAAGTAGTTGTTCACTTACCCGTGGGTTCCGTTACTGCGCGCTTCTTACGACCTGCAAGATAATTACAAGAATATATATTTATTTAGATACAAGTAAGCCATTGAAACTTTCGAGGAACGAGCCTACTCCTTCTTAAATTCGCGGCAAGGCGCCTGTGACTCCTCTAGTGTTCAGGTGTCTATGGGCTGCGCTGATCACTTACCATCAGCTGCCCAGACTGATCGTTTACCTTCTTTTCCACAAAAGACCCATTCTTCCTTAAGCTAGATCCTGTATGGAATCTTTATTTTTTTAAACTATAAACTCCAATGTAATCATGTTTAGTTTTTTTGTTATCACAACGGCTGTGACATTTCGTTGTATGCAGAAAACAAATGAAAATAGAATTCTTTTTAACAGTCGGTCACATTTTAATAAAAACCTAGGAATAACAGCTATAAAAACTAACTAAAATAAACAGATTTCTAAGTTACTTCATTTATAATGGCCACCAGACATCATCTTTGTAACGTCAAAAAGATTTTGATTATATTTACAGAGATAAAATGAGTTAATAATCTTACCCTTTGAACTGGACACCTGGTATGAAACACTAGTTTTCACCGTGACTTCGCCGTCGTTACCAAGGTTTTTGAAGTCAAACCCGTCTAGGGAGTGCATAGCGACTCTCTTATTTCTATTATCATTCTCTGGCACTTTCGTTGGCTCCGGTTCTGGGTTTACACTCGGTTCCGGTTCCGCATTCGGTTCTGGTTCTGGAGACGGATCCGGTTTTGCTGTTGGTTCTGGTTCAGCGTTAGGTTCAGGTGCGGATTTCGGTTCTGGAACTGCAGTAGGTTCCGGTTCTGATTTCGGTTCCGGACTCGGTTCTGGTTCCGCAGATGGTTCTGGACTCGGTTCCGGTTCGGGGCTGGGTTCTGGTTCGGATTTCGGTTCTGGTTCTGGTAGTGGTTCCGTTTTTTGTGTTGTTACTAGAAATGTATAAGTTAGTGTTTAGATTTGAGTGCGTTTCACGAATTTTTGAACAATAACGATAAATAACGATAATGTTGGAAGATCTGTAATACTTATACAACAGATTATGTTGAATGCAAAAAAAACATGTATATATATCAATCGAACATAAGTGGTAATCGTTCTGATAAACAAAGCTATAATTAAATACATATAATACGTAGTCCAAATTACCTTTTCCATCGACCACAGGTCCCAACACTGGGAAGTTTTTACATTCCTTTGTCAAACCATTAGGGCGCCAACCGACACCTGGAAAATAGAATATAATGTTCTATTCAATAGTCATACCATACACCACTGGACACAATTCTAGACTTTTTCCTTCTAGCAAAAGTATTTATTCAGTATAATGAAACAATAAATTTATTTTTGCAAAAAGGCACTTTTACACGTCAATTTATATGTGAAAAACTAGATGAAGCCGGCATGTATATAGTTCTTGAAATTTCCAGTCTTCTGGGTGGGGCGAGAGTGAGTGTCAGAATATTACTGACTAAATACCAATACATTCCTTCTCCGGCTTCAAGTCAGGGCCGCGATATTATTGCCCTTGCTCCCACAACCCCAACTGGGTATCGGCCCAAGTGAGCCCCAATTGATGGCTTGACTTGATGACTGTGGTGGTCAATTGGGTCTTTGAGGCGTACGCGGAACACGTCGCATTTGGATGTACTGTTTGCTTAGCACTTGCGCTTAGGCAACTCTCCGGGCGTCGGTGATCGAGAGATGATCTCCGGCCACCGTAAGAGCGAGTCTGAACGGCGAGTAAGGGTAGCTCGCCGCCCAACCAGAACCAGACCCGAGACGCCTCGGAGAGCCACCATCACAACCGCGGCCCTATCGGGATGATGTTTACCCGGGGTAACGCAAGCGCGATAAGCTACTGCGCCCCCAACCTAGATCAGGAGAAGGAACGGGGGGGTTTTTAATCAGTAAGAGACTGACACTCCCTCCCACCGCACCCTGGGCGGCAAAAGCAATTTGATGATTTTCGCCTCACAAAAAAGAAAAAACCGGACTGGATTAACGAAGACAGCTGATATAACTCAAGAGTTATAAGTTTTTATTTATTTCTACATATTACTTTGCCATTACAGGTAACTTATCCTAATTCGACTTAGTAACTTAAAATATGTTTCCTAAACTATTGACCATAAACTTTAGCTATATTAAAGTTAGTACCTATAAACTTATTTAACTTTAAATTACAAACTATATTTCCTTACATACTACACAGTAAGTGGTAAGTTACTAAGTTTTAGAGGTATGAGGAACAGGGTGGAAAGTTCCTCATCCTCCATTGAAAAGGGAGGATCCTCCGACCAGGCGAGGTGTTCGTGCCTGGCGGGCTACTGCCCGACAGTTGTTGTCGGGATATCTGTATGGGTGCTAATTGTGTGGAAAACTCTTATAGCGCGATGTAGGCACTTGCACGTGATTGGTGCTGTTGTTTATGTAGTGCGCTAGATGTCGCTACAAAGTTAAAACATTCACTAACCTGCATATGAAGTCCCATTGACCATCATGATGACCTCGATCTCTGCGTCTTCCTTCAGTATCCGCCAGTACAGGCTGAAGTTTTTAGACATCTCACGTTTACTGTACAGGCCTAAGTTCACTTTCTTGTCCTTCCAGGGCGCCTCTGTTGATAAGAAATATGATCATAGTATATAATTTCAAAACATATATGGGATTTGACAAATAGTTGTAGAAATTATAAGTCACTCCAATAGCACACTATTAAGAATCGGACAATTTTGACTCGACGCATACACGAAAAAGATGACGATAAGACGCTCATTGTCGCGTTCGAACGAGAGAGAGGCACGATCGGCTCAGTTCGATTTGTGCGTTTATCAAACTGCCGTTCCTAAATCGACTTTATACACAACCATTTCTTTAAGCAAGCGACGATGCGTGTAGCCTTTTTTTATTTGGGACCAGCCTGCTGCAACCTCCCAAAACCGCTGCAACTACTACAGTAGATACGACCATGAAAACACCGGAACACTGAAGTCCGGCGCGTCCTAAGGACATGAACGACTGTCTAGGATCCCGCAACGCAATAAATCAGAAGATATTATTTGAGGAGAAGCAAAAATTAAATAGTTTCCGTTCCATAGCGTTTGTCAAGACGGACTCCACACCAGAGCATGGTCTACCCCAACGGTCATTGGTTCTCCAATAAAATATCTTCAGCCCTCAAAAGCTTTATCATTTGACCTATAGTTAACACATAAGAAATAATTTGATTTTAAAGGCTACACAGATAAACCCAGAGAGGTTTCCATTGTGGGGAAAGACCTGATTTAAGAATACTGTAAGTTTTTTAGAAATAGTAATTGTAACTATCGAAATAGTCGAACGAAAAATACTTACTCTTATTACATCCTTTTCCATAGAACCCAAATGGACAATAACACATCTTAGTCGGCGATTCGGTGGCGTTGACATCAATGCACTTCCCTCGAAGACCGCAGTCATTATCCTCGGAGCACTCGTCGCTGAACTGACACCGAGGGCCGGAGTACATCTTGTTACATTTACACCGTCCGAGGATGTAGAAACCATGCCCTGAACACGTTTCATGGTATTCTTTACCTGGAATTATTAAGGTGGAATTAGTTAAGGGAATTTTGGCTAGTCAGCTCGACCGGACTTATACCAGGGTCTCATAGGAAACCAGCGTGGAAAAACATTTGCGTGCTTTTTCGTAGGGTGAGCTAATAATACATGTAGTTCTTATCTCTGGTGTTGTAGGCGCCAATTGCTTGCCATCAGGTAATCCGTTTGGTCGTTTTCCGCCATAATACTTCAAAAAAGTGTAAGTTACGGAATATTTTATTCTTTACTAGCGACCCGGCCGGGCCTTGCATGGGTGTTGTGCTGTTACTAAGTTTCTCCACTATTTGTTGGATGTTATTATACATATAAAACCTCCTCTTAAGGCTGCGTTTCCACCAGAGATGTGCGAGGATGCGTAGCGAGGGATGTGTTTGTAAAGAACCAATAGAATCGCTTCATTTACCTCGCCTCGGTCAGCACAGCTCTGGTGGAAACGGCTCAGCGGAGCTAGATTTTTGCGCATACAAAACAAGCGAGGAATGTGTGCGAGGGATGTGTACGAGGGATGTGTGCGAGGGATGTGTTGAGAAGGATGTGTTGCGAGGTTTGCGCATACTGTACCAGCCAGTCCATAGACGGAGTTTGTTGGAAGTAGAAGTGCGTGAAATAGATATGGATAATTGGAAAAAGAAGATACTTTTATATTTAACAATTTGCGATGAAGAAATGGAAGCAGAAGATACGGAGTTTATTAGTTCTATAATTTTGAACAATAGAAGAACACACAGGTTTTGGATACGTAACCATATTAAATATCATCGATTACATGGAGAATTCTTTACCTTTTTTTATACGGCTGATGATGAAATATTCGAAAATTCTTATCGAGTATCTAGAAGTAACTTTTATGAGTTACACAATTTGATTGAGAACATTATCAAGAAGGAAGACACTCACTACAGAGAATGCATCAGCACCAAGGAAAAATTGGCGGTATGTTTAAAGTAAGTAAAATAGTTTGAATCAATTTTGTCTTTATTAAACATATTAATTGAATAGTACAACATAATCTGCAAAATAAGTAGACAACAAGTTCCTCTTCTTCATGGTAAATTAGGCTCTGTATTCCTAGTCCCCGGAGATGCTGGTTGTACAGCTTCCAGTTGGAAAGACGAATCCATCTGGCCCGCTATTTTATTTGTATTCCTAGTCCCCGGAGATGCTGGTTGTACGGCTTCCAGTTGGAAAGACGAATCCATCTGGCCCGCTATTTTATTTGTATTCCTAGTCCCCGGAGATGCTGGTTGTACAGCTTCCAGTTGGAAAGACGAATCCATCTGGCCCGCTATTTTATTTGTATTCCTAGTCCCCGGAGATGCTGGTTGTACAGCTTCCAGTTGGAAAGACGAATCCATCTGGCCCGCTATTTTATTTGTATTCCTAGTCCCCGGAGATGCTGGTTGTACAGCTTCCAGTTGGAAAGACGAATCCATCTGGCCCGCTATTTTATTTGTATTCCTAGTCCCCGGAGATGCTGGTTGTACAGCTTCCAGTTGGAAAGACGAATCCATCTGGCCCGCTATTTTATTTGTATTCCTAGTCCCCGGAGATGCTGGTTGTACGGCTTCCAGTTGGAAAGACAAATCCATCTGGCCCGCTGTTTTATTTGTATTCCTACCAGAGCTTGAAGAATAACCAAGTTGTTCAGGATCCAGCTGAGGCGGCAAATCCATCTGGCCTGCTATATTACTTGCGTTGGTACCAGAGCTTGAAAAATAACCAATATTTTGATTATACCACGACAGCATGTAAGATTCTTCGGCTTCGCTAATCATATTAAAAAGTTTCCTTTTTAAAGGAACTTGCATGTAATCTGGTAATTTTTTAAATGTTTTCGCCATTGAAAGAAAAAAATGATCAATATCATCGCAGTCCGTTGGTTTTAAAAGTTCTTTTAATTCTTGCCTTTCTTTTCGAAAATCTTCTTGATTTTTCATATGTTTTTGTATTAAAATTGATAATTCATCGCCTTTTTTCTTCTTTGATGATGACGCGGTGACCGAATCTGTTGAAATGCCTGAAGTTGAGGCTATTTCGTAAAGATTGTCGGGATTGTCAACTTGATTTGGTGTATGTTCAGTGCTCTGCGAAGAGTCATCTTGGTTTAATGAATATTGAGAGCTTTGCGAAGAGTCATCTTTATTATTTGGTGACGAAATATCCTCTTTATAACTTGACTCTCTATCTCTGTTGGCCATGTACGGTAAAAGAAATTCCATCAATTTTTGGTATTTCCATTCACGTGTTTTGGTTGTAGCCTGTCCGCTTTTTTTAGATTTCTGCCTCTTTAGCGCGTCCCGATGGCTATCCCGTAGTTGTTTCCAACGATACTTTGCGCTTTTCACTGAAATAATAGAAAATTATGATTAGGAATATAACATTTTTATACCAAGCATTTTGTCTTACAGATCGTAAAAAATCAGTAACAGGTAAAGAGTACTTTTTTATTTGTTAATTAATTATTTTATTATTATTATAAACAATCCTTTTTTGCAGGTATTTATCCACGGGCTCATCGTTCACAAGATTGGCAGAAAATTTCAGGATTGGAGTAGCAAGTGTGTCGAGAATTGTGGTAGAAGTTTGTAATGCTCTTTGGCTCGTTTTACAACCTCTTGTTATTCCAAAACCTACCAAAGACGACTGGAAGCGAATAGCAAAGGATTTTCAAGAGCTATGGCAGTTTAAAAATTGTTTAGGGGCTCTAGACGGTAAACATGTTTATATAATGTGTCCTGCAAACACTGGGTCCTCTTTTTTTAATTACAAACAAAGATTTTCTATAGTGCTTATGTGCTTAGCAGACGCTAGGAGAAAGATTATAATGGTTGATGTGGGATCCATGGGAAGATTTAGTGATGCTGGAATATTTGATGATAGTGTTTTTGGAAAATATTTGAAAGAAAAAAGATTGAATCTTCCTGAACCTGAACCATTATATGAAGGAGGTGAACCAGTACCATTTGTATTCATTGGAGATGAGGCTTTTCCTTTGATGGAAAATTTCATGCGCCCGTATCCGCGGGACCAGTTAGACCAACAGAAACGTATATTTAAATATAGACTTTCGAGGGCACGTCGCATTGTGGAAGCTACATTCGGTGTATTGGCACGAAAGTGGTATGTGTATCGTAAAGACTTTGAATGCAGAGTGGAAACGGTTGACAAAATCGTAAAAGCCACATGTGTAATGCACAATTTTTTAATTGAAAGACAAACTAATTATTTGGATTCCATTGATAAAACAAATACAGGTACTCTTGTATCCGTTCCTAGCATTTCCGTCGTCGAGTCAAGTGATGGTTATGAAGTAAGAGAGAAATACTGCTCTTATTTCAATAATCAAGGAAAAGTGTCATGGCAGGATACTCGTATTTCGTCACGAATTCATCGCACACAATAAATACCCAAATATTGTAACTTGTATTTTAATATACCTGATTTTAATACATGATTATTACTTACCATCTTTATATTTTATTTCTTTGACTATTTCCTCCCACGCAGCGTCCTTAGTTTCATTACATTTGTAAAATGATAAAGAAGTGTTCCACAAACACGGAAACTTTTTAACGGCATCAATTAATTTTTCGTCCATTATGCCACGCAACCGTACGACTACAAGCGCTAACGACAGCAAAGTGAGAGTGAGACGTGAGCGGCAGGCAGGCGTTCGCGTTACTCCGCTCCCACTACACCGCACCCCCGTCGATACATTTCACAGCTTCGCAACGCATCCTCGCACCACACATAATGCGCATTTTCACAGCTCCGCTACACATCCTCGTAGACACATTTTCATCGCACAGCTTTGGTGGAAACACCCACACATTTTCACAGCACAGCTAGACATCCTCGCACGACACATTTCCATCGCACATCTCTGGTGGAAACGCAGCCTTAGTCACTTTAGCTATCTAAAACAAAACAGCATCAAAATCCGTTGCGTAGTTTTCAAGGTTTAATCAAACATAGGTGTATCGCGACAGGAAAAGCGACTTTGTTTTATAGATACCATGTGAGGAGTCTTCACTCAAGAACACATTCCAATTGACAATCGTATTAAATAGAATATAAATAAAATCTAATCAACAGATAATTATAAACTGACAGTTAATTAAAAAACCTATGAATTTTAATATGAAAATTTTAAATAATTCAAATTTTAACATTAATCATTGACATCGATGAGACATTTTAATTTTGCAACATAAGTTTTGGACACTAGTGTGTGGACCGCGGCTTCATCCGCGCGCAAATCAGAAGATTTCACTCGAGTAGGCCCCAAAACGCACCTTTAATTACCTACTGCCGTTAATTTTAGAGGGGGCTAATCATAAAATTACTTCTCTCATACCGGGTGGCAGAACAGAGACTGTCAGAATGTTACTGACTAAAAACCATCCCGTTCCTTCTGGTAAAGGCCGCGGGACATTAATGCGCTTTTACCCGGAACCCTGGCTGGTCAATAGCCTTTTTTAAGGTTATCTCATGGTAAGCAAAAGCGAAGGAAATTTCCAAATCGGTAAAGCAATTTCAGAGAGTTGCGCACAACTTCACCTGAGAGAAAATGAGAGAGAGAGAGAGAGAGAGAGAGAGAGAGAGAGAGAGAGAGAGAGAGAGAGAGAGAGAGAGAGAGAGAGAGAGAGAGAGAGAGAGAGAGAACTACATCCAGTACACGAATAAAATATAGCCTTTATAGCACTCAGGTACATTGTAGCTATCTATCAGTGAAAATATTTTTAAAATCTGACCAGCGTTTCTTAAGTTTACCCGCTACACACAAACTTACAATTATGTAACCTCTTTATAATCTTATGTCTTAAACCGAATTTCTGTTCGTTAGTCTGCTAAACCTGCAGAACCGCTGGTCCATTTTGGATGATTTTGGTCTTAAAATTATCGTTGAAATATTTAAAATGTAGTATTTGAGGCGGTAGAAACAAACAAACTTTCACACAGAAATCTTTCGTTTGTATAACATTAGCATTGATTAGGCATAACTTCATTATATAATCGAGCTAATTAATCTTGGCATCCGAGCAATTTGTAAAAAATGTGAGTCAAGGTAAACATGACGACATTATAATACATGCGAATGTACGAGTATTTGGAATAGATTAACGTAGCTAGCTGGCTATAGTTGCGGCGTAGTGACAGGTGACATTAATCAGGAACCGGTGTAATGCAAACTTTATTACGTAATGTCAATTAACTTGTACTAGCTACTCGCGCGGTCTCAGTTAGGGAAAAGCTTTTTTATAACACAAAAAGAATTGGTTCAATTCGAACCTGTTGTTGCGGAGATTAGCGCGTTCAAACAAAAGAACTCTTCGGATTTATTTTTAATGTTAAAACAGATTGTGGCCAAGCCATCACCACCATCTTGTATAATTCATCCCGGCGTACGGCGAATATCCACCCTTACGTTGTTGAGACACCTGCGGCCCGGACTAAGCGTTTTGCCTCGTCATTTATACCGCGTACATCGAGGGATTGGAACAGCTTGCCGGCTGCAGTCTTTCTGTCCGAATACAATTTAGGTGTCTTCAAGGCTAGAGTGAATAGGCTCTTAATAAACTAGTGCGCCTTACCATCAACGATTGCATCACTGCTTACCATCAGGTGGGATCGCAGTCAAGCACTAATTTATAGCAAGTAAAAAAAAACAAAAAAAAATCTAGGGATTCAAGTACCTATTGATGATTTTTTTTATTTACTTGTTACATAATTTATCTTACAAATAGAGTAATTGCCAACGAATTCAATTAGGTACATATCTCGTTTTAAAGATATTCCAAAAACTATAGTATCTATGTATATGTATTTTTATCACAAATTAAGTTTTTGAGATCTAACGCTAAGTATACGTACCTATATGTATACATTTTTTTTACTTCATAAAGATATATATTATGTCATTACATAGCTCAAAAAATCGAATAAATTAATACCTAAGTACGTTTACGTAAAATATAGTAGTTTCCTAGGTGAAAAATAAATGAATTTGACGTTTCAATACAATAAAGTATAGAAAAATCACTATGTATATTCATCGAACGATCGATACACAAAAAATTAGATATATATATCATTTAATTTTTAAGAAATAAGTAAGCTATTTGACCCTAAAATGCTATGACGTCATAACTCGACGTTTCATACAAATTTCATAGAAAAGTATCGTTTTTGACATATGTATAAAAGTATTGCAATTGACTAGTTGTAAACTACCGTATAAAAATTCGTCACATTTTTTATTTTACGGAGAACTACATTCCATATTTGAATTTATTAAAAATACTAGTACTAGTGCTGTGAAAGACTTACGTGGCAATATATCGATATCTGCGCACGACCAGAATCGATAGTTGCTGCCCCACTCGCCGGCTTCCCTCTGCAGTTGCAGCGTGCAATTTTCACAGGTAAAGTCGCTAGGGAGACGAACCTCGTATTTTTGGGCACTGCAATGTTAAATAAAACAGGTAAATTATAGGCACATAATTTTTTTTGTAGTTTTCCAACACTAGGATTTTCTCCTATGCCTTGGGCCGTTAGTTTGTTTACAATTTCACATAAATACACATCGACCCAGACCCGGAACAACAATTTGAGGATCACACAAATATTTTGGCCCGGTTAACCGGTTGCCCAGCCTCCGTATCAATTGTGCCGTCAATTAATACAATGTTAGGGTTGATTTTTCAATAGTCAGATAAATGTTATCTGAGGAATAAAATTGTTGCTGTCACTGTCTTATACAAACATTGTGACGCGACAGCATCATAATTATTCCCCAGGTAACTTTTATCTTACCATTGAAAATCAGCCGTAAGTCATTTAAAAATCAATGTATCTAAGTACTTATATCTAGTGTTCGTTTAACTTGCGAACAATGGAAAAAAATTGAAAATAATTATTCAAACTAAAATTTAATATTCGTGGCAAACATGTCAATAATGAATTTCCATACAGCATATTGTTCTTCTTCGATTAATATTGACATTCAAATGCAAATAGATTTTCTTTATTCGAACCAGTAGTTTAGGAGTTAAGCGCGTTCAAACAAACTCCTCAGATTTCTTATTTTAGTATTAGTAGATATGTTTTGTACGTAAGTACGCACATAGTTACCTAAGTTCGGTAAGTTTCGGTAGAGTAACATGAAGTGAAAAATGACTAAAATGTTAACAAAGATCAAATAATTAATTAATATTTTGCTAACTAAGTTAACACTTACGTGACGTCATCTCGGACGAATTCAGTTCCACCCGCCCTCGGTGTTAAGTCAAGAAGTGGTCTTTCCAATTCGTCTAATATTCTCAAACTAAATCCACCCTGAAATAATAAAAAAAACAAAATGAGTATATAAAAACGAACAAAAAGATTTCGCCCAACGTGGGGCTCGAACCCACGACCCTGAGATTAAGAGTCTCATGCTCTACCGACTGAGCTAGCCGGGCTTGTGGTAGCATTGTCAAAATAACTGATCACTTACTCGGTGTGCATATGCCAAATGCCAATGTACTGTAAACGTTGATCCGGCTAAGAATGATGTTTTTAACGTTCCTGAAACAAAACAAAACAATCAATTAACAAACAAAATCAACTAAAACTATGAAATTATTGAAATTATATGTATACAAAATTAAACTTTTTCATCATCATCATCATCATCATCAGCCCTTTTCAGTCCACTGCTGGACATAGGCCTCTCCTATTGCACGCTTAAAGGCGAACTTTTTACTTATACAAAATTAAACTTAAATTAAAACTAGCTTAAATAAAACAAAATAGTTTACTAAACAATATCAAAATTACAGTTTTCCGCATTACAGCTTTTAGCGTAATTGTTATCAGCGCCATCTCCTATCTAATAGCACAACTACTATCTTGACACCATTTGCATAGTTGTTACGCAATGACATGTAGATGTCGCAACTGGTTTGAGACGTAACATTCCAGTATTGGTGGGAACGGGTTTATCTTGGTATTTAATTCGCTTAACTAAACTTTTTATTACATAAACTGGTTTTCTAATTTAATAAGTACCCTTTACTTGTTGTTGATGAAATAGGTGAGGTAAAAAGATCTAAATCTTGTTCAATTTTTGCATTACTGTGTGTTAAATGTAAAATTGATTCGATTTCTGAGAGAGATTCTCCTTTTATTTTATTTTCTACAAAAGTGATTCGTTTTCTTACATAAGTTCAACCACTAATTTATACTTTATCATTTAGTCAAAATTATCAAAATATTAAACTAAAAAAGATTGTGCAATTTTTGTTACCTATTTTTATTTCTTCCCCTTTCTTACAAACTTCAACTTTTGACTTCAAATGCAATTTATGATACACCTTACTAATTTTATTCAAAAAAATCCTATGATTAATACAACACATACGCTGGGCAGTGAGAGACTTTAACATATTTTCACCATTTCCGATTAAATCGAAAACAAAAATGTCACTAATGAAAATTCATAATCTTACAAGCTAAAAGAGTCTTACGGCAAGTTACGGACGCAGTGTATATCAATTACAGCATTTTCGAGTAACAAAAAGGCTTTCGACCGTGACAGGACTCGAACCTGCAATCTTCGGATCCGAAGTCCGACGCCTTATCCATTAGGCCACACGGTCACATGAGGTAGGAGTCCATACAAGAGGGTAGATTCTAAAAGCCTGCGCACGCAGGAAAATTGGGAAGTGTTTATTTGAGCGAGTAAGCGTCAAAGATCATTATTACTGTAGGATAAACTCGATGGCAAGGGCGGATCCACCGTAGTGGGCACGATGGGCATGCCCACAACCTTAATACACTTGTGATTGAAATAGGTTTGGATCGAAACTGACTATAAGAAATTAGAAGAAATCGTGTCAGACTTCTTCCTAAGTTTATTTACATTCCTAAGGCCAAAGTCGTGATGCTCAGAAAAAAGGAAATCTAATTCATAAGTGCATAAACGATTTGCATGATTGTTAATGAGTATGTCCATGCTCCGACTCGTACTTAGCCGATTGTCTAGTAGCTGTGACCACAACCTTTTTTGAAGGCTGGATCCGCGCTTGCTCGATGGACAGCGATGGTTACAGACATCTCCTATACCTATTTAGCCTATTTTTTTTGTAATCCTACTTATGTACTTACCTCCTTGTTTTAAACAAAAGAAAGTATCTATGTATTATGTAAATACACAATGGTAGTTGGAACAAAATTGTGTCCAATAAATATGATGTAGGTATTATGTTTAATTGACCAGAGTGTGTTTTTTTATTATAGACTTTTCTCGATTCCGCGCCCAAAGGGCAAACAAAATGTCCTAAATATTTGTTCGTAATTGATAAGAGTGTGTTTTATTAAAGCCATTCTAAGTTGCCATAATATATGCATATAACCAAAGGTTAAAAACGGACACCTTATTACTAAGAGTCCGCTTTCCTTCGATCTTATAGATAGCTGGACAGTTTTTGCCGGGTAAAATAATCAATGGCATCTCTCAAGAGGCGAAAGGGTGTTTCAATTGTTTCATACTCTCACTGACTAAAAGCCATCCCGTTCGTTCTCCTGCTCTTGGCAAAGGCCGCGGTAGATCACTGCGGATTATTCGTAACCACGGCTAATTATTGGCTCTATTAGGGGTAGTGGGCAACACGGTACTTGACAATTATTACTTATTATTTAGACACCATTGAAATTCGGTGAAGGAAAACCTCGCGAGGAAACTTACACATATATTTCTAACTAGCGGCCCGCCCCCGCTTCGCACGGGTCCAACTATCTCGCTATCAAAGTGTCACTTTTTCCTAATCTTCCCCTCTACTTTTCTAATATTTTCTTTGATAAGAACCTTCTCCTGACAGTGACAAACACAACAAAAAAAGAATTAGCAAGATTGGTCCAGGCGTTGTTGAGTTATGCGCTTACCAACACATTTTGCGATCCATTTTTTTATATATATAAGATTACAAGTTTGAAATCGCCAATGCGCCTTGAGCAAGTCTAATGATTCTTGCTCAAATCTACTCCGTGTGGGAAGAGGACTTATGATTTAATACAAATTAAACAGCTCTGAGTATGACACAGACTAAGGAGTACAGCCAGTTTTAATTAAAGCTGGCTGTATAAGTAAGTATCATTGAAAGTGGCGTGGCAAAAAAAACTTAATTAGAGCAATAGGAACTCCTTTATACCATTTAATTTTATAGAATCTCCTAAAGTGTTGTGTGAGAGAGCCCTGTTTCGGCACGAATGGGTCGGCTCGAACCGAGTGATACCACGGCCTCACAGAGCACCGACGTCAAACAACCAGAGTCGTGTTTCGCCATGCTTTGGGTGCTATGTGTCAAAACAGTCCGCCGTGTGAGTGAAGGTATGTACCGAAGGTTCAACCTACCATTCCCAATCAACAAATGTCCAATCATCATCTCCCTTTTTTAATTCTATTTTTTAAAAAAAACGTTGCCCCACACTTGTATTTTCTCCTGTTTCGTGGGTGCGGTTACAAACATACAATTTCACATGCACATGACACACAAAGAGTTGTTCCAGGAATCGAACCCGCGACACGTTGCACGGCAGCCAGTTGCCCAGCCACCGTACCAACCGTGCAGTCAATCCCTAATAAAATTCCTTCGAAACGCACTTCTTTTTGCTCTGGCCTTGCAGTAATCCGTCTTTTTCGTGAAATAAGGGATAGAGGTAAAAGTACAAAAAATATAGTACTAAACAACTATTCAAATTCAATGCTTTTATCGAAATATCATAAACGAAACTGTACAATCTTTGAATTTGGTATGAGGAACAGGCTTTTGACATCTTACTTTTTTCTTACTAATAAAAACCTATGTAAGTAAGTATATCGTGTGTATGTAAGTATATTGTCAAACCCATCAATTAAATATGTACGACTATTTATGAATTTTAATTGTATTAAAATGATAAAGTAATCTGTTATTGACTGAGGTTAATACTCAATTCCATTAGGTATTACTTTTGTAGACCGGTTTTTGTCATTCCCTTCTCAAAGGGTAGTAGAATGCCTTATGGACGACCCTTACTTCCTTTCTTATGAATGTATTGTTCGTTTTGTCACCGGACGAAGGGTGTGTACCTACCTACTTTGAATTTTAATAGACAAGAGATATTAAGCTTTTTATACGCATGTTAATTTTGTTTTAAGAGTTATCTACATACTATATATCTAAATTACTTTGCTCATAGTAGTTGTATCTATCTGTATGGACGGCTGGATGATTTTTCGCCTTCCAATGGAAAAATAATGAAAGCGTTTGAATGAAATTTTGTACAGAGATAAATTATAAATAACACACGGGGTACCTTGTATCCTAGAAACGCTGTCGAAGCAAATCGCTGAATTTAGTTTATAATATTCGTTATTCCTTAGTCCATCTTGGAAAAAAGAAAACTTAACAAAAAACAAAAATGGCGCCCATTTTACACTTGAACTTTTTTTCCCGCGTTACCGTTACGTTCATAATTTTCTATGTTTTGTTCCCGATTTGCAGATAGAAAAGCAGATCTCATATGTAAACGATTTCCTTTTAAAAACATTGATCCACGGATTTTACCATTAGGTATGTAACATCTGAATCAGCTGAGCCGAACCAATCAGTAATAATTAAATAAATTTCATACCTGTCACGTACTAAGTAAAATAGGTTTATTTCCAAATATCGATAATCGAAAATTATGTGTTGCAGATTTATGTAGTAATAAGTTAAATACATACCTACTTACTTAATTCCATTTTTTTAAATAATAAAAAACAATGCTATGATATATTGAAAATCTTTGTTTGTTTCAAAAACATCATTATAACTGATTAAAAAAGAACGAAAACATAAAGATATTTTATCTTCGAAAATACAATAAGAAACAAACAAATAATTAACAAAAAGATCCGCAGCCGGTAGGATTCGAACCTACGCTCCCAGAGGGAATCTGATTTCGAGTCAGACGCCTTAACCACTCGGCCACGACTGCTTGGGATGGTAGCGCGAAATTGGTCGTCATTCGCTCGATGACCATTTTTGACATTAAAATGGTACCAACATGGCAGAATAATACCTAATACCAAACCTTTAGATCTACCAACATAATAGTAAAAAAGGTAAGGGTTTCGTCGCAGGTAAAATGGATGAATGTGTACTACCAAAGAATATAATAATAACATATTGTTTAAACTAGCTATTCTCGCTCGGTATCACGCGCTGCTAGGCTCCATTTGATCGTAGCATGATGTTTTATAGCTCCATCTATCAATGAAATAATTTTGTAAATCTGACCAACTGTTCCAAAGATTACACCCTACATATAAACTAACAAATTAAAGTTTTAACTCTTTGTAATATATTTGTATTATAGACTAGCAGCTCGCCCCTGCTCCGCACGGGTCTCATGATCTCGCTTTTATTACCTAACTCTCCCCTGAACTTTTCTAAAATTTTCTTTCATAAGAACCTTCTCCTGACAATAACAAATTCAACAAAAAAAGAATTAGCAAAATTGGTTCAGGCGTTATTGAGTTATGCGCTTACCAACATATTTTGCGATCCATTTTTATATATAAGATAAGATACATCAGCACCCTACTCTTAACATGGGAGTCACAGGAGCTAATAAGAGGTACTTGAAATTTTAAGTGTCAGACTCTTACTGACTAAAAACGCCCCTGTTCATTCTCATGCTCTAGGCCGTGGTCGCGGTGCCTCATTGCGCTTACCCCGCAACCCCGGTTGAACCCTCCCTATGTTTGATAGCTGTTTGATTTAACTACTAACAAGATAAAATGTTTGCCAGTGTTTTGAGCACGTTATAACAGAACACAGATCCCTGCTATGCTCTGTTACGACCTTGAGTTGTATGCATTGCCTTTCTTTGCGTCATTCTAAGATGTATTAGTCAGAATCATTCAGTCTATACTAATAAATACATACATAGTTATAAATGCGAAAGTAACTCTGTCTTGTCTTCAGGCCTAAACTGCTGAACCGATTTCTGTGAAATTTGGTACAGACATAGTTTGGAACTCAAGAAAGGACATAGGATAGATTTTTAAACCAAAAATCTGCAGGAAGTCACTTTTCCACGAGAACGGAGTAGCGGGCAAAAGCTGGTCTATAATAATATGTTTAGATAGATATTTTTTATATCGATGTTTAGATTGGTATGTAGGTAGGTACATACCACCGGTATACACATATAATTGTTTATTTACTACATAAGTGATTGTATATTTATTGTTTGTTATTACTTAGCTGTAATGATAAACGTATTGCTTAGAATGGAATATAAATAATTATTTTTATTTTTCTTATACATATACATATGTCGTAGAAAATAAATAATATTATTTATTATTATTATACATATACTTAGGTATAATAATAAACTACTTAAGTAAGGTTTTTCAATAGACATATTTATAATATCTGAGGAATAAAATTGTTGCTGTCACTGTCTTATGCAAACATTCTGACGCGACAGCATTATAATTATTCCCCAGGTAACTTTTATCTAACTATTGAAAAATCAGACCTTAATTTAATAACTCGTCTGTTCTAAGCGTAAGCAAGAAGACTTTAGGAATAACAACATCAGTATACAGGTCCCATTCTCCTGAGATTTTTATTATTCTAATCTATACTAATATTGTAGAGCTGTACAGTTTGTTTGTTGGTTGGAACGCGCTAATCTCCGGAACTGCTTGTTGGAATTGAATAATTGTTTTTGTGTTAGTTAGTCCATATCCAGAAAGGCTATAGGCTATCACGCTACGATCAATGGAATCGAGCAGGCAGCGGGTGAAACCGCGCGAGAGAAGCTAGTTTAAAATAATTTATGTGGAACGACGGTCCACTTTGAAATCTAGTACTTTCTTACTCAACTTAGTCAACAATATAAATATGATTTTTTTTTAATAAATCTGTTTATCGATGCAATGCTTTAATAAAAAGTTAATCACAATTTCATTATTAGTTTATTTTACGATTTAATGAATACCTACACGTATTTTTCTAGTTTTCAAACAATTAGTAAGTAAGTAATAAACATGCTATTTGTCACAAGTGATCACCACAACACACAATCCACTCGACCAGAACCAAACGAAACGAAAACGAGAGTTGCAAGACAGATGAACGAACCACAAAGAGTCAATAGACCACCACAGACTGGGCCAAAAGAAAAAACATTATAGAAAACTGACAATTTTTTTATGTGATTGGTTGGTTAACGAACGGACGGATTGCCTGATGGTAAGCAATCAGCGCCGCCCATGGACACCCGCAACACCAGAGGAGTTGCGAGTGCATTGTGTTGATTTTAAGGGTTATGGTTTTGGATATTTAGGGATTGGGGAAAGATTTGAGGAAGGTAAGAAGGATTGGATCCCCAGTAACCTCACTTACACGGCTAAACAACAGTGGTATATGTATATGATAGTTGGTATGTGTTGCCGAAGCATGGCTCTTCCACGCTTAAAAATATAATAAGAAAAGCATAGACGAAAATAAATATGATAGATTATATTTTGTTTCATTTTATTCTATTTTAATTTTATTTCATTTGAACCTTCTATTTTTTGCTTCATGATTGTGATTTTCGTGTGCCCTATACTTTGGCAAAATAAATTTATTTTCTTTCTTTCTTTGCTTTTAAACTGCGACCTGCGACTATAGTCTGGATTGACATTAATCGTGAAGCTATACTATAATTCTTATAAGTTCCCACAAAACTGAACTTTCCAAATGAAAATATTTTTTTAATCCGTTACCAAATAAAATAAACAAGTAAACGAATCATTCTTCTTCTCACAACACTGATAGATTCACACAAACAAAACAAAATTACAATAACAAAATAAGATCAAATTTTAAGAATCGCATCGCCATCTTGAAAAAATTCTGAGGCAACCGAGGTCATTGCCCTCGAGGTCGTGTTTGTAAACAGACCTGTTTGGTCTAAGTCTGACACTCGACCTAGCTAGACACAGTCAGTCTAACATTGACTCAATCAGTTTTGAGACTTGAGACACGCTGTCTGTACCAGAAAACTTCTTTTATTGAACTTGCTGTATCATGGTGGTACATGCAAGTAATTAATTAAATGGATTTTTGGTACACCATTCGCGTCTATATGGCAGTGAGCAGGACACATCTGTCAAAGAACCGATGACCGCTAGGGTAAACGTGTTCTAGAGTGGAGACCGCGTCTAGGCAAACGTAGTGTAGGGCGCCCTCCAGCTAGGTGGACTGACGCCATCCGCAGGCTGGCTGGCAGTGGTTGGATGAGAAGAGCTAAACATCGAGCTCAGTGGGGAGCCCTATGTCCAGCAGTGGACGACAAAAGGCTGATGATGATTCGCATATAATATACTGTTTTACCCGCTGCTCGGCTCCATTTAATCCTAGCGTAATGTTTTATAGCCTATAGCACTCAGGAACATTGTAGCTACCTATCAGTGAAAGAATTTTGGCAATCCGACCAGCGGTTCCAAAGATTACCCCCTGCATATAAACTTACAAATTTTACCTCTTTATAATATTAGTAAAGATGATCATCGAGCAATATATTGGCGAATATACGGACCCACGGCTCATCATTAAACCCCATAACCCCCTTAATGCAACGAACTCTTCGATGTTCTGGTCCTTACCCCCAGCTGATCCTTCGTTCAGCTCATTTACCGCCCTATCTCATAAAAATACGGATCCACCCATGGCCACTAACGCAATACTAGAATTTGGTGATTGGGGATGAAGGGAAGAATTGGTCCTTCGGATTTTCGAGTTCACAAACAGTGCCGTCGCGGCGGCGTTAGGGATGATGGGGCGATGGCCCAGGGCGACAAATTCTGGGGGGCGCCAAGGTCTGAAGTTGGAGTCTCTTGCCTCTCCTGGTGCAAACCCTCACAACTATGCTCTACGCTCTGGGCATATGCCCTATGCTGGGTATATTTTGAGGGTTTGTCGTCGAGGAGTGACTTTAACGATATCAATACGATCAGCAAAAAACTATCACTTGATATAGCTTCCCACAAGTGAGCGCCACAGCATTTTCGCTCGGGGTGTCAGTGGCCCTTACGCCGGCACTGTTCACAAAGGCACGTTAAATTCACCAGGTACTCGCTAGTGGCCCATATTCGGCTCGTTGTACGGTAGGTATATTTATAGCTGAATTAATTACTAATATTTATAGCTACCCTACAAAACAGTGTGTTTAAAAGTTCAGTTCAAATATTTAATAGTTGCTTTTCGTGTTACTTTAAAGGCTGTTTCTGTAATTTTTAAGGGGAAGGATGGCAACGGCACTAGATATTGCCATAATTGAATAGAAAACTTAAATGACAATATTATTAATAGTATTAATATCAAAAATTCAAATTACCTTTAGGCATTCCACAAGGCGGCTTTGTTCTGGAATTATCCAGAAAATCCAGGTCGTACCTCCTTGCTGGAGGGTAGGTGAGGGCAACATGTCCATACACACTCACACAGTAAACTATTAACAATAACACTACAATCATTTGTGACGCCATCTTGATTTTATTCCACTCACACACACTCACTTTAATCCTAGCGTCATCACTTTTGAATATCGAACGTCCTAATCATCGTAAAATATTTTTTTCTTTATAATCGCGCCATTTTTTCGTTCAGTAGCGAAGGAGTTTTGTTGTTTATCTGTAACAAATAAAAAAAAACGAATTAGTTATGTATATGAAAAGCAGTATACTTGAACACGTTATTAACTATTTAAAACATTATAAACAATTAATATTAGGTACCAAAAATCGTCTTAACTTAATTTTAAATCGTAATCACAAAAGGATCATTATGTACATTTTAAGCATATTATGGCCGTAATAATAAATAATTTAACCCATTGATCTTAATAACACCGATCTAGAACGATACCTAAATAAAACTGTACAAAGAATACTAGCTTTTAACATTTTCATACTTAGACATCATTTACCAAATCTATTAACTGTGCTAGTATTTACTACTTTAGTCAGATACAATACTACTCACGCACGCTAGTACAAGGAATAGTAGCTCTTAATATCTTTAAACTTAGGCATAATATCCCAAATCTATTTAAGCTAGTATTTACAAACTTTTGGTAGGTACTAAACTATGCGCCCCACGCTGGCAACATTGAGAAGATAATGGCCGCTCACTCATATACGTCAAACAATACGTAGGATGTATGTCTCAAGGAAACCGCCACACACTGCCATTGTGTACGTACAGGCTATACAGGGTGTTAGCCAACCGTGACTACCTTCTAAATGCTGCCAACTTCGCTAATTTATTTCTAACACTGTTGTTGTAGGTATAAATCGTAACACTTGTTAATTTTGTGGCAATTTTTTTAACTTTCGATCGTGGTAATTCGTGACACAATAGAAGAACAATAGGTGCGCATACGCCGGCGTTCGCTTGGGGTTTGGTGAATTAAAATGTTAGGAGGTGGGCGAGGGGTTGGCTGTAGCGTAATGAGGTAAGATCCGATTCGGAGTGGGACAAGGAACGGAGTGATTTTAATCAGTTATAAGCGTCTGACACCTACTCTAAAATAAGCTTCACAGGCATTCACAGCAAACCAACATTACATTATTTTTAGGTTACATTTTGCGTCCTGAGTGCTGACAACGCACACATAACTCCTCAGGCAGTGCAAGAGTCATATAGACTATCAAGAGATACACATAGCTAAAAAAACTACATGACATAACCTTTTACTTAATGTCAATAGAAGCCAAACCGCTAATTACCTAAGCTAATTCTCTTCTCTCTTTTTTGGGAGACAATATTAGAAAAGACAATCATCAAATGACTTCTCCCCTCCAGGGTAAGGCGAGAGGAAGAATCACACTCTAACTGATTAAAAACACCCCCGGTCCTTCTCCTGCGCCAGGCTGAAGGCGCGTTGCCTCATTGCGCTTACCCCGCAACCCCGGCAAATTCTATTCCCTCCAAAATCTTTTAATATTCATTTAACTTAACCAGATACCACAACAAAATATCAAAATATGTACGAATTAATTTTTCATGTCATGCCTAATTAGATAACATGATCGATCAGTGCTGACTACTTGCCACAGTAAAGAATTTGATACGTCGACGACCTCCATGTGTTTTGACAGCTGTCAGATTTATTGAAACCTAGCAACTCTCGCGTGGTTTCACTAGCTGCTCGGCTACATTTAATCGTAACGTGATGTTTTATAGTCTATAGCACTAAGGAACATTGTACCTATTTCATCATCATCATCATCAACCGGAAGAGGTCCACTGGGCTGGACAAAGGCCTCCCCCTTAGGAGGAGGGGGGTTGCCATAATTCACGTGAGTTAGAGTTATCTAAACTAATATTATAAATGCGAAAGTAACTCTGTCTGTCTCTCTTGTCTTCAGGCCTAAACTACTGAACCGATTTCTTTGAAATTTTGTACATAGTTTGGAACTCGAGAAAGGCCATAGGATAGTTTTTTAACCAAAAATCTACAGGAAGTCACTGTTTCACGTGGACGGAGTCGCGGGAAAAAGCTAGTTTGTTAATAAATTTAACCTGTATCACGATAGTTAGTATTCAAAAATAGCTGTCAGTTTTATTTTTTATTGGAGTTTATGGCCTGGATACAAGTCCTTTAAGCCAACTGTCAGTTTTAAAAGACAGAAAGCCACAGATAAAAAAAAGAAAACGCGGAGCCGATCAGCGCCGTTGCATTTCTGTTGATGAAAACAATCGAGTAACGATGTAATAATGATTGTTGTAATCATGTTACATTACTTTGATCGCTCGTATCGACAAATAAGATCGGTTTCTCTGTCTAGTTATAAGATATAACTTAAATAGAAAGTCTCTCAATTGGATTGTAATAACATTAATTTCAATTATTACACGAAAGTGTGTCAAAGTTTTGTAGTAGGTAAGTAATTGACGCTTTGAAATTACGATTTGACACTCAATGACTTTTAAGGAAGGAAGTTTTTTACGTGACTGTAAGTCTAGAAAAAATCAATTTTGTATACTTAATAATGTTAATCTTTTAGTCAAAATCACATTCGTTAGGTATTTCCTTACTAGGTACTTATTACATAGTATAAAACAAAGTCGCTTTCTCTGTCCCTATGTATGCTTAAATCTTTTAAACGTCTCAACGCAATTTCATGCGGTTTCTTTTCAAGAACTAGACTGATTAAAGAGGAAGGATATATGTATAACGAGCTAATCTCGCGCGGTTTCACCCGCTGCTCGGCTCCATTTGATCGTAGCGTGATGTTTTATAGCCTATAGCACTCAGGAACATTGTAGCTAACTATCAGTGAAAGAATTTTGGCAATCCGAACAGCAGCGGTTCTAATAATTACCCCCTACATACAAACTTACAAACATCCATACTAATTTACCTCTTTATAATATTAGTATAGAGAACATCCGTTAAATGGTGGAGAAATTTAGTATCAGTATTGTATCCATGCGAAGCAGCTTCTAGTGTTACGTATAATTATGAGCATCATAACCTTCCTCAAAATTCAAAGCAGATGATTTTTCTTAAGGTCAGCATCAGCTGATCATAAAAATAAAACTTCAATTGTGTCACTAGGTAGGTATACAAACAACCTAATGATCTTATAAACACAAAATAATTTGATTCACAAGCAAATAGGTCACTTAGATTAAGATCCGATCGCCAGATAACTCATTGTAAACTCATTACACCAAGGATATTGATGTCCTCTCATTACCCACACTGTTTTACCGACATCTTGTAACAAAATGGCGGCCCACTTATCTTGCGAATGTAGGTACTAAACAATACGTTAGGCCAAAGGTAAATTTAATTTTGTTGTTCTAAATCTATGTATTTGTTTTAAAACTTATACTTTTTATAATTTAGGACGGTAAATGAGCAGACTGATTGATTACCTGATGGTAAGCAATCGGCCCCAACACCAAAGGAGTTATTCCTTAGTGTGATACTACCTTGTATTATGTGAGACCGTGTTATCACTCTAGGACAGCCGAACCGTTCGTGCCGAAGCTTGGCTCTCCCATACAAATGTACGTTTTTTTTTAATGATGCAATACAAAAGGACACGGTCGAGTGAAGTATCATTGTATTAGATACTTCTCCCGCCCTGGGTAGTGCGAGATGGTGTGTCAGACTCTTACTGACTTAAAACCATCTCGTTCCTGCTTCTGTTCTGGGTTGGGGCCGCAGGACATTATTGCCTTCCCGGGCCAGGTTAAAATAGGACAAAATTGTAAGTCTTACAAAATATACTGTAGCTTTATTAAATAAACTAATACTACTTTGCCCTATTATGAATCCTATCCTCACATTTAAAACCAATTTGCTTACGTAACTACACTAAAAAAAACATTTTTGTGCATAATCATCCTAGTGGAAACCATATAAACATGACCAATGAGGTTTTAATTGAAAACTCAAACATTATATAATCTGTGCCACCATCTGCACATTTGAGCAGGTGTACCAACCTTCAAATTGCACCTAATCAACATGATATGACGTTGCGTGCCAAATACCATTTATATTTTATCTGTCTACTAAGAGTTAAGTAAGTGAATTGGAACTTTGGTACACAGATTTTAAAGTTGTAATTTCTGTGGTTGTACAACAACAGTGTCTAAATGCTGTGTATCTTCTGTGTAATAGGGTTGGCACTTCTTTCAATGAAGAATACAAGAAGTTTGTATTGAAATACAAAATATGTTTTCCTTGCTATTTTTGTACGGTCACAACATTTCCCCGTTTGAGGGGAAATTATGTAGCTTTCTATTAATGTTCTCAAAAAAAGGAAACATACATCCAGTGACTATCTTCAAGAATGGCAAACAGAATTTTGCATAACGTTAAAGTACCTAACTAAAAAGTTTTTAACAATTCCATAGGTATTTATTCTGAATTCAAATTTCTTTTATCCGTTCGAGAACTTTTGTTTTATTTTGTTCTAAATTTAATGATATTTATTTTCTAACTAGCGGCCCGCCCCCGCTTCGCACGGGTCTAACTATCTCGCTATCAAGGGGTCACTTTTTCCTAATCTTCCCCTCTACTTTTCTAATACTTTCTTTAATAAGAACCTTCTCCTGACAATAACAAACGCAACAAAAAAAATAATTAGCAAAATTGGTCCAGGCGTTGTTGAGTTATGCGCTTACCAGCACATTTTGCGATTTTTCTTAAATACTTATTAGAAGCAATTAATCATACATATGTTTATATCGAATAAGTAATTATTTAATTGCTTGAGGCGAGCAAAATAATTATGTGTTTACGATTACGTTCGTGACCTTCTATAATTACGTGGGCTCTATTACAAATATCTGTAGGTAACTTGATTTGTTGATTTAAGTTAAGACTGCCATATGTGTTATTAAAGGAACAAAATTGTATGAATTAGATTTTTTTATGGTATTAGTTGGCAAACGAGCAGACGGATTACCTGATGGTAAGCAATCGCGTCGCCCATGGACACCCGTAACACCAAAGAAGTTACGAGTGCGTTGCCGGCCATTTGGAAATAGGGATTGGGGATAAAAGGACCGGGAAGGGATAGGGGACGGGGGAAGGTTTGGGCCTCCGCTAACCTCACTCACACGGCGAAACACAACGATGTGGGTTGTTTCACGCCGGTATTCTGTGA